AGCAGTTTCTCAACAGGCTCTAGTTCGGCAAGCTGTGTTTGGAACACGAAGCGCGTGGGCACGTTCGCAATCAGCGTGCAGATATATGATGATATATGAAAGTTTCGATAACTGCGAAGCGCATCCAAATGCCAAAGTGCGCGTTCATGCATTTCTCTGCAAGCCGTAGTCGAAGCTGTAACTCGCTTTACAACGCCGTAACACAGTAAAGTAGACGCTCCATTTCTCCAATATACCACACTCGAAACTGAGGTCTTCCAAAAGCTGTGTTTCTCTCCAAGCCGTAGGGGAAGCTGCAGTAATTCTCGTTGCGCAACCGCAGTGGAGGCCGTACATCAAGCTGTACTTCTATCACAAACCTCATTCAAAAACCGTAGACAAAAAAGCCTAGTCGAAGCTTGCCTGGTTCGAATAAAACCGCATCATCAGATGGTGTGCTCAGTGGTGCGGCACCCGAAGTTGTCTCTGTCGCATGTCTGGCGTATAGTCGTATGTTGAAGCTCGGTCGATTTTCCGCAAGGGCTCACTGTCCGTCCTGCTTCTGGCATTCCACCCGACTCCTCAGCTTGTCCCTGAGGGGACTTCCAGTCAGTACCCACGGTGGCCCCAAAAAGCAGCAGCATTGGATGGCTGTGGCCCCTCTTCCACTTCGCCGGTGCTGGCCTTCAGGGCCACGTACAACGTCATTTTGCCCCGAGTGGCGTGTCCCTCCTTCATCTCGAAACATTGAGGCTTTCGTATGCTATCGCTGGGTGTACCAGCACAAAGAAGGGTGTGTACGGCGTATACCCTGGGCCAAGCAGATGAAGCTGGAGCTCTTATGCGGATGTCGGCCGTATTCTGGCAGTGAGGGCTCGCTCGACGCGTGGATTTCAGGATTATTCGGCGGCCGAATTCCGGCCAGCAGCAGGCTTCGAAAGTTTGTCAAAGCTCGGTGCATCTCGGGGTGCTGCGGAAATGATCGGAAATGCCTTGGATCAGACATTCGGATGATGTTTGCTGTGCGTTAAACAAACCGCTGGCAACAATGCCAACGTGTGTACTTTCGAGGCTGAGCAAACTTCGTTTTTGGGAACACGCTCAAAAGAGCGTTTGTTTGTAGCTGCGGTTACAGGGGCTTCGGTGCAAAGTTAACTCACGCTGCTGTGGACCTTTCCGCACACGGTGCCTTGCGGGATGGCATAAGGCCCGACTCTTATTTGACCAGTGATTAAGAATTTCCGGTGCTGTGGAAATCAGAACGCGAGCTTCGGGTTGGTTCCTTGGCCAGGCGCAGTCCATGCACAAGCTTTTCGATCTGCTCGAGGCCATGCGTTGGGATCGCTGCACGGAGCATCCTGGAGCAGCCTTCTTGCAACTGTTTCGGCAGAAGCTCTCCAGCAATGTCGCAGGAATATGCATCTCTAACAATCTCTAACACCTGGGCCTGGTTTGCTGCCTGTCACATGTAGGGAGGCTCCGAGGTGGATGTCCAATCTCTTCAGAAGCACATAGGCTATGAACTTCGGCAGCCGGGCTAGGAGAAAGAGCCGCCGCATCGCGCAGTACTTGCTGCCAGGACTTCGTGCCAGCTTTTCTGGAGACTGTGGCACTGCCCTCAGATCAACAAACGACTCAGAGGCCTCTGTAAGTCCAGCGTTTGTCGCGGTGATCGGTTGTTGCCAGGATGCCAGTGACTTCGGCATTTTCCAGGAGCTGGATGGTTTCCACTATGGCCAGCGGCTCGTGCTTGCTCGTCCCTGCATTGTGTGTGGGTTTGAATTGCTTGTGATTTCTCCGAACGGTTCAGATTCAGCCCAGCTGGGCCAAAATGGGCCACACGGCGTCAAGTCGCGACTGGTTACGACTGTCCGCCAGGCCCAGTCGAACGGAACACCTGCGTCTCAATCCACTGCTTCCTGGACTGGGTTTTGCTTTGTGATCAAACGTTCTGAAGTGCAAACGAGATCAGAGGCGAATAGGGGCGAGATTGCTGCGCCGCATGCAGTGCTCGAGGACAAGATCCAGGAGCACTTCCCCTCCATTCGGCATGCTGCGCTGCTTTACAATGCACACTTGGTCTACACCAACCTGGCATTGAGTGACATGAGGCATCCGTTTGCGCTGCCAGCACGGAGAACTCTCTCAATGGTCTGCTTTCAGCTGCAGTTGTGGCCCAGGGTGCTCTATTCCTACTTGGTGTCCTTCAACGGCGCCGTTTCCAGCCACAAGTTGAACAGACCGCCGTTTGGCCCACCCGACTAGTTTGAAGAGGAGTTAGTTCAAGCCTCTTTGGGTTTGCTTTGCCTCTCGGCCCGTTGCACTTCTTACGCTGCCTCTTTGCTCCATCACTATCTCGCTTCCCCGTTGTCCTTTCCATCTGCTCTATGCGAACCTCCCTTCTTGAAAGCGGCGGGGACTGGAGCAAAACTTTTGGAAATATCCATGAAAGGCAAAATAGGTGGCTTCGCCGCCGGTCCGTGAAGATTTTGCACGAGAGTGGGAGTCCCCAGCATTGCTCAAGGCAGGATCCCCACTGCTGCTTCGCAACCGGGCGGAGGCAGCTCCTCGCCTCGCTCTCAGCTCTCAGCTTGGCTCTTAGTCGTTGCATGCCGGTGTTTAGGAAATCGTTTCAAGGTTTGGCAGGGCCTTCCTGCTCTCCGAGGAGGCTGTCCGTTCTGTGTGCTGTGTCTCTGCGAGAACCCCACTCGCATAGCCCTTATGCAGGATGATTTCCTCCTTGGCGTCTCGCGGCGGCCATCTAGCGGGTGGCCCATGCGAGTAAGAACCTGCACACTGACGGATGGCTTGAAGTTCATCGACATGAACTAAACTGTGGATTGCTTACAAGTTCTCCAGTCGCAAGGACAATTCTGCGAGCAGCAGTCATTCCGTGTTGCAGCCCAGTTCCTTGATGGCTCATAGATCAAAAGGAGCGGCACAAAGCGCCGATGCCACTCCCGTGCAAGGTAAACAGCAGACCGAACACTATGGTCTTGAGACAGTTCAAGAATGCTGCATGCTCCTGGTAACTCCTAGTACTTAGAATTTGCTTTCGGAGCGAAGAACTTTCTTATCCAGTGATAGGCGAGGCAAAACCTTTCTGCTGCCGTCGGGCTTCTTGTCCATTCAAGCCCACTCCAGCACTGAACAGACAGCCGCTGTAGCCACTTAGTTGGCGCAGAGAAAATCACCAGAGCTTGACGACTCGGCGGCCCCGCGGTTTTCCAAGTCTCCTGGCGCATGACAGCATCATGGCGGCCGAGAAAGCCTCCTCCGGTCTGGATCTGGACCTACAGGCCGGAGATAGCCGGAGGTTTGCCAGCGTGCGCAGTAAAATTGCACAGTCTTTCTGTCATGGGATATTCGAGAAGTTGACCTGCCAACCGATCGTTTGAACTACTGTAGGCTTGGCGTCCTGCTGAGCGAGACTCAAAACAGTAAATCACTGAGCCTGACGGTTTGCACATGCACGTCCGGACTGCACCGAAGCTTTTGTCTCATAAAGTTACAAAGCAGCGTAGATGCTGCAGAACGTGCTGTGTTTGCTTCTCGGCGAGGCGGTTGAAAATGTTCCACGAGAAGCTCAACTGCATAATATGCCTTCCTCAATATATTCTATTGAGGAAGGGCTGATGAGTGGTGCTGGCATTGACAGAGAGAGAGAGAGAGAAGTCTTTCTGCTTCCCACACGCCATGCAAGCAAGCAAGCAAGCAAGAGAGACCTAGATCTGTATTCGCAAATATACTCTAACCAAGCACCAAGGGGGAAATACGTTCACTTTGTCACACACCTCCAAAAGCCCCACGAACATCGGGGGGGCCTGAAAGGCCGAGGGGTTTCGCACTCCCCTCATGCCCGGGGGAAGAAGAGGAAGGAACCTCGAATCCCCTTGCCCTGGAGAGAGCGGGAGGGTTCGCAAGAAGCCATGCCAAAGAAAGAGAGAGAAGACCGAGGACACCTTGGTCGCCCTTCTTCGACGGAAGGACTGATATGGAAACCCGAGATGCCTACCTGCTATGCAGATCGTGCTGCATGCATACCCCGAGGTTCAGCTCCAAACCAGAGCTGACACTTCTCCTTGGCACATGTTTCGCATGCTCCTGCAAGGACAAAGAAGTGAAGACACAGCAGGGCAAGCTTGAGAAACTTGAAGAAAGGTATGTCAAGGCCAGGAGATGCGGGGTATGCCGAGTGAAGCAGAGACTGGAAGAAGTCACAGGACCTAGTTTCTTTCTCTTGCTGGGGATGGCTCCACCTTTCCGAATATTTGCCAGAAAGGGAACCAACAGTCTGCAACGAAGACGTATGCACAACTCATCGGATGTTGGATACGGCCCATGATGCCCAGTGCCAGTTGGAAGTCGGAGATCCTGCAACAGATCTACACTGATGCGTGGCCGTCGTCAAAATGCCTCTTATGTATGCATGGGTTCATATCCACACTGCATCCTTTCCAGCTTCGTAGAAATGCAGAATCCTCGGAGCCAACACCTGCGGGCTGCACGGGCGGCGCTGGGAGGTTGTCCGCTTCAACAAGATCCTCATGGAGGAACGCAGCAGGTTGTGCACAAGCTTAGCGGCATAGTCGTTTTCAGCTTCGCTTCTCTGGAAAGTATCTGTCGCAGTCAGCTGATGGCAACCCACCTTTAAGCCCAAAGTCCACGATCGCACCTCCCTCCTAATATAAGAATCGGTTGTTTCAGGATCGTCAATCTTTCCAGCGCTTCTGTCACGAGCTGCTTCCCGAATGTGCGCGTATCCAAGCTTCTAGCGGGAAGACATTCGAGGTTGCTCTTCCTTCAAGGGCCGAGCGTCTGGAGATGGTACAAGACTTGTCGTAGGCTGCTAAGAGTTCTTGTCTCATGCATTCATGCACGCAGCTGGACACGAGGATGGAGCTTTCGAAGAAGCAGCTGCGCAAGAAGCACCAACGGATCTGCTGCCAGACGGCAAAAAGTTGAATCGTGTCTGCTCTACTCGAGGCACGAGGCTTCATGTTGAAGCAAAGAGCCAAGGAATGAGCTGCTTCGACAGCTCGCGGCGTGGAGGCGCTCGCTTCTCAGGATTCTCTCCGCCTGGAGCGCCTTGCAGATTTGCAGAGATGTGCAGAGCGCAGCACTGGAGAGTCCTCCTCTTGCGCCCTGTGCAAACTCGCTCTTCCAAAGCGTTGCATGAAGCTTCGGGGGGCGAAGGCCAGAGTCCACGCAGCGACTATGAAAGAGACAAAGAAACAAACAAAAAAAAAAGCCGGGACGGGGCCGGGCTCCGCCGAGGCAGAGCCGAGGCCGCAAGCGAGGACCGAAAGGACGGCGTCACGGCGTGCGGTTCGGTGCCGGACTGTGAGAACTCCGAGTCGTCGCTTCGTCTCCGCGTCGTCGCAGGTCTTCCAGCAGTTCTTGACGCTCGTCTTTCCTTCCGACGAAGTTGTTGCGGACTTGCTCAAGAGGTCGCGCGCACAGTTGCAGATGGGAGCGGGAGCAGCGTGCATTCCGCGAGCAGCAGGATAACAGACTGCGAAATGTGTGCTACTGCTGCCATTGGTGATTTCAGCAGTTTGTGAGAAGTCGTGCCTTGCTTCAGGCCCTCGCTGGGTGAGGAAGCCTTGGATCGTTTGCAACAACGATGGATGCAGTTGGAGGCCATCGGAGGATGCACGAGACATCTACTAGTAGAAGTGCCTGCGTCTGCAAGGACTTGCACAGCCAGTCCCTAGCCAGCTTGAACGAGATGGCACGGCAGCAGGTCCTGTGCTCCTTGCATTTGGGTGTGAGAGGATTGCTGTTCTCTGCCAGGTGGCTGAAAAGTCATCGGAGATCCAGGCATGTCAGAAGGCACTGCGCGCTGCGGAGGCCCAAGTTCAGGAGCTGCGGCTTTGAATCCCCGTTTCCACTGAATGGGAGAGTGCCGACGTCTTGTGACATGGAGGATCTCAAAGCGGAGCTGACAAGCATGGCTCGCGACAAAGCCAGCCCAGCCGCGAGTGTCGGCATTTGTGTTTGACCACCTCATCTGGGACCTGCAGGCGCAAATGCTCAAGCAGAAACTCCACGGAAAAGGCATTTGGATTGCACAACGGGGATTGCGTTCCATTGCTCTCCTGTTCCGACTCGCAGTGTCAGGGAGCCAAAACGACTCCAGTTTTCTCGCGGTGGAGGAAGCACCGCTGCTGTACAAGCTTGAGATTGCGGCTGGTTGGCAGAATCTGGTGCAAAGATTCTAGCATACTCTACAGAGCGGCTGTAAATGTACAAGCTATTCAATAGATGCTGTGACCATAATTAATAGATGGATTTCCATAGCAGTCGGGCTTCTCGGCAGCCTACAAGGCAGCTGGGAAAGGTTTCAACCTAGCTGCAGTTCGGCAGGACCATGCTGATGCGGGTGCCGACGCGGAGCTTCAAGCAGTCGAGGAGCAGAAGGCGGGGTCCGTTTGAATGCTTGATGGCGAGGGCGGAAAGTAGCAGTTGCACACGTCAGCTTTGAAAGGCGGCAGCGGAACGTCGTGAGAAAGAGGCCTGCTTGCTTTTGCGTGGTGGTAAGTATGTCTTGAACGAAGGCTTGAAAACTTGCGAGAACTTCGGTTGTTTTCCAGCTGTACGGAACCATGTCGTGCGATAGCACCTAGTGTGAATCGAGGCAAACACAGGCAAATTGATCTCGTACAGACCGCCACAGACTGCTCCGGAGCTGTGGTGACTGCTGGTGGTTCCAGTGTCAACGGCTCACTCGGCTTAGATGTTTGTATTCTGTCCCTTGGACTGGGTGCACAGTGGCAAAGCTCGAACATCTCCGAGCTGTTGGCCCCTTCTCCTCTGCTATCTTTGCTCTGAAGGCCTGGCAGGCCTTGGAGCGGCAGCGGCAGGTGGGGAGCAAGAGCTTGAGTGGAGGAGTGGTGAGTGGGGATGATTGGAGGCTTCTGACAGATCTGAGAGGAAAGGGGAGCGAGACTCCTGTCACCTTGGCTTGCACACTCATTTCATCCGAAGGGAGCACACACGGATGTTGCAGAAGATGCTATTTGATATTGTTATGATGAAGTGTGATTTCCTCTGCAGGCTATGCAGGCCGGGTTGGGTGGGGCACGGCTTGGGCTGAGCAGTGTGAAGACTTGATGTTGCTCTGTGCCGACATCGTCGGTGGTCCTTTGTTGCCGCAGCTTTTTCAGTGTCTTGCGTAGAACATGGGTTCTCGCAACCCCCGAAGTCATCTAGAGCCTTCCAGCAACATATTAGGGGACAGCGTTGAGGTGAGGTTTCTCGAGTGTATCGGTGGGCAGGCTAATGGGCGAGCTCCTGCTCCAGATGCTTGGTTCGAAAGAACAGAATCCACACATACATGATTGCGTCTGCAGCTCCATCCATGCACGAGCGCCGAGCTATGGAGCAAGAAGCCCCCAGACACCGGTTGAGCTGCAACGCAAGCTTGACGAAGGTGGCTGCCAGTTTTCTGACTCTCAGTTTACATTTGGGGTTTCCACGCATGTAACAGTACTTTCATTTCGTGCGTTTGGCCTTGCAAGATTCCAGCCATGGCACACTGCAACTATCAGACCTTCGACACCAGTCCAAGGAACCATGTCTTCACATTCGGGCCCATCTACAGCTTTGGAGTTTTCCTGCCGGTGATCAAGGCTCACGTGTTCTCATTGATGCAAGGTTTGCTTTCGTCTGAAAATGTTCGCGTGCTGCCTATAGAGCCTCGACACCTGCGCAGCCAACGCTGTGTCGAGAGGCAGACTTGAACGTCTCCCTGACGGAGGCTCGTAGTTGTCGGCTTCATTCACCCATTCCGGTGCCAGAAGTCCCACGAGCAGAATGGTTCGTCGATAGCGGAATGACCTTGGTGGGTCCACGTGCGGCGGCTAGTCTGCGGGCATCATTTTCGTTTGCACGCAGCGCAGGTCTCTGCCATTAGCTCCACGATGAATACCGCTCAGTTCATGGGCTCATTGGTGGCAGGTGCGATGGGATGTTTCGAGTCAAGGCGAAGAAGACTGTTGCCGAAGAAGTCATTGAAAGGGAATTCGAAGCCTGTTCGCGGCCTTCCTACGTCTCCTCCATCGTCCTTCCCCAAAATCCGTCAAAGTATCGAAGTCGTATTGAACAAATTCCTGGATACTCCTCAACAACGTAACACAACCTGCGACATGCCAAGATGCACCTGCACAGGACTCCTCATCCCAAGGCGCCTCGGTCATGCAACTGTCCCTCAGCAAAATCTTAAGGTTATAGTTATGTGACAGTTAGGCACAAGATACCCCACATGGTTTCGCGGTTTGACAGGTAGCTGGCATTTGTGCGCTTTGTGCCTTCGCCGGCCTTGCGGCGCTGTCCTTCGCCGCTTGGGAAACGGGAGCGAATTGGGGCTAAGCACGATTGACAGTCGAAATGGGCAGTAAGCTCTGCAGCCGGGCAACACGTGCTTGGAGATTTCGTATCAACACGCACACAGACACACGCTTCGATGCTTCTCTGCGTCACGTTGCTCCAACGCTCAGCTCATGCTGCTTCAACGTTGGGAAATGCCGACGTGCAGTACAGGAGCAGAAGAGATACTGCAATACGTCAACGAAGGGTGACGAACATACCGCATCAGCCTGTGCATAGCAGGTTGAAAGCATCTTCTTTGCGTTCCCGGCTGTAATCTTGGCAGGCGTGGGATGATGTCAAAAAAGCTTTGCACTGGAAGTTGCAGTGAGTATCCATGCTTTCAAGACATGGTTTGAGATTAGTGACCTGTATTGACAATCAGTGGTACATGATTGAAGGGTTCCGGCTACGGTGTCGCGCTGCAATCTTGTGCTGCTTGCATCCCGGTGTTCTCGAAGTTTGGTTGCGGATGGTCCTCTGCATTCATGCCCACAGCGCCGCAAGCCAGTTCAGTCTAGCTCGCGAGGCCTTGGACTGGGGGCTTCGAACCTGGCCGGCCTTGTGGCATTGATCGACAGCGTTGCTGCAAAGAAGAGCCTCGGTGTAGAGGGAAGCAACACCGAGGATTTTTAACAGTGGATCATGAACTGAGGAGGGCTACACTGGTGGGCCTTGCGACCTGCATCCCGGCGCGTGAGTTACAGAACCATGCTGGAAGGAAAGGCCCAAAACTCTAGAAGGCATGCGGTGTGGCGCCAAGCTGAGGTGGCACAAGCGTCGGCACAATTCTGCTGCCTCAGTTCTACAACACTCTCACAGGCATCGACGTTACGAAAAGCTGTTGTGTCGGTTGCGTGAGGAAGTCGCCAGATCGCTGCTAGGGCCTCTGGCCCCAGGCGTTCCCGAGATACTCACCATTACTCATCGCAAAGGGCTCCTAAAACGCCTCTCGAGGACCATATCAGTAAACTCTGCGAAGCTGAAGCCTTGCATCTCAGAAGCATTCGACTGGCGCTGGGCGATGCGAATAAATGCCCTGGCTACCTTCTTGGCTTTGGGGCTGGCGGCGCCGCTTTTCCGGGTGCCGAAGCCCGAGGGATCCGATGCCACTCCGCTGAGTTTAAGGAACTAGCGCTGTGACTACACGAAGCGCTTTGCAGTCACGTTGACATGCGAAGGCTTCAACTGGTACGGACAACAGGAGTTGTTGGGTGGGAAGCCCGGAACCTAGAACAGGACTTCGAGTGGAAAAATCGTAAAGCCAGAAAATAGAAAGTTAGGACTTCAACGAGAGGCGAAACGTATGTCGTAAAAGCAGATGGCATGTGATAAGTGCAAACACCTCGGAAGGGAGATCTTGAGTGGGAATCCCTGGATCCGACTTTTTCCCGCGAACATCCGACGTCCAAATGCTGAATTGGTATTGCTGGAAGCTGCCACCCGCTTCTTCCTTTCCATGCGTCTTCCGTTGTCCAGGTAGCCGCTCCGCCGCGAGAGGCAGGGAAACACCATACCATCGACGACGTCAGCCAACAATATGTCAGGGTGGTAGTGCTCCTTCCCAACCTCCGCCTGATTTTCGTGTATGCGCAGCGTTCGGATGAATCACACGGCTCGACAGATTACTTAGCTTTGGCGATTACTCCTCGACCAGCAGTGCTGGTATAGGCTCACACCACCGCTTGCCCTCAGCTGTCAGCTCTTCCCAGCACTGGACCAGGCAAAGGAGGCACAAGCCTCCAATCCATGCCGAGATGCACGGTTTGTATGCTGGTGGTTGGACATGTTTGTATGCTACCTGTCGACGTTGGTGATATGGGATTTAGATTATGCTCCTTGTTGCGAACAGTCTTGTTCCAGCGAGCCCGAAGCCTCATGCTCGTCTGTCTGAGAGCCTACCGAGGTTTCTTCGGATACTTTGTTCCGCCGGCCCTCTTGGCGGACTTCGCGCAGACTGAGCTCCAGCTGCCGCCGGAGGCGTGATGGACGTTTGTGAAGCCATCGCTCGACCACCGTAGAGGCAGCGTCACAGGAGTTCAAGCATCATTGATCGTCATCGTGTTAGCAACCGCGTCGAGATGTGATTGTTTTGCGATGGCTACCAAGATCTTTCCGGCACTTGTTGTCTTGATTCTCGTTGCTGCGCGCAACGGAGGCTGCAGCCAATGCCTACACTGTGATCGGCCCCTCGCCTCGGGATCCAACAAAGGGGTCACCGCAGGTTATGCTTTATCCGTGCGCTCTTCATCGAACTCCATACATGCTTGCCGACCTACCCAAGTGGGCAGGCATTTGTGCGCTGCTCACGCGCCTTTGCCTTGGCGCAATTTCTCATGCCTGCGGAGGGCCACGCCGCTGGCTGAGACATCAGTTGACAGAAGAAGTCCTGTTGAGAAATATCCGGGTGCCTCACATGGCCAGCAGCGCTGTAAAATTGGATAACAGGAACCACTCTGTCCAAGGACGTGTTCACATGGCGTGCCAGATTCTAGTTGGAGTCGTAACGTGCTGTCTGCCGTTCTGCTGGCGCCTTGGCAACACTGTGGACAGTGCCGGGGTAGCTGAGGCAATACAAATGCGCAGGGTTTCAAAGCACCATGTGAAGTTGATCGGAATTCGAGCGAAGGATGGGTAGTCCCGGATATTTTCGTATGGAAGATACGCAAAGCCAGAAAAAGCACTGCACATGCCAAGGAACTTGGAGTCTCTGCTTGTTTGGAGTGCTTGTTATGGCAACCTGGCAGAACGTCTTAATACCCAGTAAATTAACAGAGGAATGGAGTCGCAACGTGCGTCGCCAGAGGCCCGTACATCAAGTACATTGAAGTGCCTGCATGGATGGACACAGCCAAGGCCTGTGTATTGGCCCTGTCATCGCATTAATTAGCGTGGTGCTGAGCGAGCTCTTCGGCACCCAGGCCTGACGGAGATGTTTGGGCAGCCACTCTGGGGTAGGTGCTCCAAGCTCGTTTGTTGCGCACCTGCATTCGCTGCAGGCCTTGCCGTTGTACCACGGCGTGTCGCGAGTCGGAGTGGGCATGGGGAACTTGCTTGGAGTTCCTGTTGCAGGCTGGCGGGACCAAAATGCCTGAGGCAAGCAGCTGCACACAACACTCAACCAAGCATGTCCGTTGGGTCCGCACTGAAAAACGCCAGCTATGACTTCAACAAGGTTTCGTTCATAGGTGATGTTATGATCTCAGATGGCAGGCCTGATCGCCGAGAGATGGGGCTATGAATTCGCAATCGTGCTCTCAGGCCAGAAGCTGAATAGAGTCGGAGATACGCTTGTGTGACCCCTTGTGACTCTTGGCGTGATGCTGGGGTTTGTCTGTTGATTGCAGGCAGCCTAGTGATGATGGCCACGACTTTTTTGGTCATTCTGGCAATCCTGCATCGTCGAAAGCTGAATGCTGAAGCCCAGAATTCGTCTTGTCGGGATGGTGCAAAGATTTGAGTGCAGAAATGTATAGCATGGCTTTGGCGAGCCAATCATGGATGGAATGCTGAAGTCGCCGGTGGAGCGCTTTGGAAGCCACGGCCCGCTCAAAGCCAGCTCCAGCTTCTTAAGTCGCTGGCTATGCTTTCAGAGATAAGCAGTATAGTGCCGCAGTGGTCAGAAGCCACCCCGGCTTTCGACTTGGACAGCCCCAGGGGCGATGTCTCCAGACACGCTGCCACTGGTGCGGCCACCAAATCTACTGGTAGCATCTGGTAGCTCAAGCTAACCCTCTCCCTCCAGTAGCAACAGTCTTTGAGGATTTGCTGGCTGCGCCTCGACATGTACAGCTCTGGCTTGGGTGGGTCCTCAAGCCCCCCCATGGCCTAACACGCCGTGACAAAAAGCATCCAGCCTTTCGCGCCTTATTCTCAAGTTTGAGATCCTGGAGAGAGCCGAGCACTCTACGAGTGTCAGCATGCCAAGCCGATTCCTGCGCTGCAAGTGGCATGTGTGCAGAGCAGGCCTCCATTGATGACCTTCGGGCGGAGGTGCCGGAGCTTGTGCAACTTAATACACAGCATCAAGCGCTTCCCAGTTGAGGATGAAAGGCAGACAATTCTGCAGACTGCCTTGTCTTGCTCAGGCGCGGCGCCTCCGCGTAGACTTGGAGCGAGAGCGGGAAGAGGTGCCACAGTCAAGGAGTCAATGCCCTGCAATGGACAACACAGCCAGAGTGAGCATCTACGTTCAAGCGAAGCCTTCAGTCTTGCCTTGACGTGTAGTGTGCGAAGACCTGCAGGCTCAGATGGCCCGATCACAGGCGGGACGCTTCTGCACCCGTGTCATTTCTCTCTGTCAAGCCACAGAACTTGTCCCAATGTCAACTTCGCATTGTTTGTATATCATGAACTCATGGCTGAAAAGCAGGCTATTAAAGTATTAACGCTTCTCTGACACGGCGAGGCACAGCACCTGTTGGATGACAAGGCCAGAGGTTCATACTGCAGCTGCAAAACCAAGCTGGGCACGCTGCGCTGCAGAATTTTCCTGGTTAGCGTAAGCACCGGGCCGGGTGTGATGCACAAAAGCGCATGGATGTTTATTTACTCTTGGTGGCGAGCATCTGCCATTTGTAAGTGAGAAGGAAGCTGCACTCGGCCACATGAAGCAGAAAGCGAACGATCTCGAAGAGGACGTTCGGATGTGGTGCTTTCGAGCTCGGCAGTAGCTTGACAGCAGCGGGTGCAAAGGGGCAGTGCATGTGAAAACACTTCTGTGGAGATCTGCTGTCATGGCGCGGCCGGCTCTTCGAGACGAATGCTGTGGGATGTCAACAAGCTTGGACCGAATCGGAGCGCCGTAGAAGACATAAGCAGGAAATGCCTTCTCGCATGAAGGCATCGCACAGTCTGAGTCAGTCCAGGAGGCATCCGTGTCCAACTGAAGCAGAACAGAGCCGCCGATCATTGTCGAGCCATGGCGCTGACGGCAAAGCCTTCGCGATGCTGCGCAGCCTTCACATTGCTTCTGCTTTGCTTCCTCAGGACTTCTCCACCAGGGAAAGGTTGGAGAAAGAGCAGGGCGAGCCGTAATTGAAGCCAGTAGAAAGTACCAGGAAAGCGGAAAATACATCTTTGCAGACACAGATTGTGAGATATCGACCTGTTCCAGTATACATTTGACCACGTCAAGGCCCAAGTCCTCAGAACGAAGGCTTGAGGGACACGGCATGGTTTAGCAGGATGGTGCCGCTCACGTTCGTGCCGGCTGCCAGTACTCCAGCACTCAGCACAGTGTCTGCAGAGAGCTTTAGGAGGTTCATATCAAAATCGTCCGGGTCTTCGGTTTTGGATCAGCCCTGAGGTTCGGGCACATCCTACAAGCTTCGCAGAAATGCTTGACGCATCATGATGCCTGTGTCGTTTATCCAGATCTTGTGTCCATGTGAGTCCTTGGCCATCACGTCCCATCCGAAAAGTTTGACATTGCGTTTGAGTTCCTCGCCGGACTGAAGTGTCCACACCCATCCGATCTTCGAACGTTGCACTGAGGATCTCCGGGAGCGCATCCCGTGCGAGTTGTTCGCCATGCACGCGGTGGCGAAGGACATAGGGATGCAGATTAGCGACGGTTCTCAGATTCTCGGAGTCAGAAACTCATTCAGCTTCCCACAATGTAACACTATCTCAAGCACAATCTGAGATGATCTGAGATGAAAATCTGTCACCGCAGGCGAAGGCGACGTGGTGGAGCAGTTGCTGAAGCCTGGCTGCCTGCCACTGAAAGTGCCGACAGGCAATAGGCAATTCAGCATCCCAACCGTGCAGGCAATGCAGTATTCCAACCGTGCGATATGTTGAGTTCAAGCACATGATGGTTCGCCCATATAACGCACATTCCTCATGCAGCCGGCTCCGAGGAGACATCATCATTAATAGCTACTTGTAGCTGAATGTGCCGGTAGTAGGGATGCTGCTCAATCACACTCCTGCTCAGGTGTCGTGCTCCTCGATGTGCGAACGGAGGAGGAGTTACTGAGAAGAAACTAGAGGAATAACTAGAGACGACAAGCTTGTCTTACGTGCTGGAGATTCGACCGTCCGAGCTTAGGCGGAGGGTTGTCATGTCGATGCAGGTTTCTGTCAGCATAGTGGTTGGTGTGGAACCTGACGGCTGAATGGAGGCTTCTCTTTCACAGCCGAGGTATATGGATGGCCATGTTCCAGGAAGCGTGAACATTCCGCATACCGAGAGTCTTGCTGCAGTCAGGGGGTGAACTCCTTCCAGCCTTGCGATGTTTTTTGCTTTGGACTGCTTCTCCTTCGAGTAAGTTCAAGGTTCTATGAGGACCTGCAGCCACATAGTCGCCAATGATCTTGTGCGCCCTTTTCACACCCCTAGCTCTGACGACCTCGGGCGCATCATCACTTGCAGTTCACTTGCGTTTGATGCGGACATGCTCATCTTGTGTCGGCTAGTCAGTACTTCTGAAGCATGTGCGATGGTGCGGCTGCAGCTTCAGCCCTCTCTGCGAATGGCCTGAATATGCCTGAATGGTAGGATTGAAATTTTCCGTGGAATCTACCTCTCAGGATCAAATATCGCAAAAACCAGTTGCCACCAGACACGGACACCCCGATGGTGGTCTTCTGCGCCCGAGGACTGACCGCGCAGCAGTTTGGGAAAGCTTACGCAACTTCAGGGTCAGATCACTTCATCCTGCAGGCATTCGCGCCCAGATGGCGCAGGATGTACTGCAAAGCCTCGGGTCGCCTGGCATTGGCACACGGTCATGCCCAGTCGTGGTCAAGATGCTGCGGAATTTATGTTCTGCTGTCCTCAGGTACACAGACGTGGTGAATGGCATGACTTGGCAGGCAGTTCAAGACACCCGTCAGGTATTAATCTGCATCTCAGTGATGGTGTCACATGCAGTTGTAGCGCCTTCCGACCCACACGACCACACCAAAAAGGCCCGAACTCCAAAAGCAGATGAGGGCGTGACCCACTTCGCCTGTGTCCTAGGATGTGCACGATAGCCTAAACAAGTGCAAACAGCCGTGCACAACCACGTGCCCACAATTAACTTAGGCATTGTATCATGCAGGCACGTACGATGATGCACACACATGCATCCAAATGCTTTCATCAGAGATGTTGAACTCACAGGGAGGGGGATGAGAGAAAGAGAATGAAGCAGAGACAGGGAAAGACGTACAGATACTCATGCTCGGAAAGGCTGCCTTTCTCACCAACACAACTGCCAAACACAGTGTGACGACTGGCAACCATCGTGGCATGCCAGTCCCCACATGTGTGCAGACGGTGCCCAGGAAACCATGCAGCAGCTGTGAACTGAGCAGCGATGCTTTCAGCAGTCTGAAAGGCTTGCTTGGCTTTGCTTTCGACCTCGCCCACAGAGGCAGCAGGAGTTACCCGGCCAGGAAAAAGTGGCATAAAGAGCTGGCACAGCCTGCTTGACACCCGGACATGCAAGAAAGTCGTATATTGACGGCGATTGCAGGAAGGAGGGCCATCTTTCAGTGTGTGAGGTCAAGGGCTGAATCTAGGCCGGTGACCGAAAGCACCATTCATCCGGGTGTGAGAAAGGGTCTCGCCGTGCGATAGATGAGATAAGTGAGAATAATGAAGATAGCGGAGTAGGCTGCAAGTCTCACTATTGCCAATAGTTGGCATGTGAAACTGCAAAGTGTTGCCTCTCATGTCACCAGCAGGAGCTTTCAAGCAACGACTTCATCACCAGACTGGCTGAGCAGCAGGCCTCGTGCTTGCACACCAAGTCGTGGATTCGCGGATGAACGGAGGCTGCATCCGTCTCAAGTCCTTCTCATTCTTTTTCCATCCGCTGGGGATTGGCTCCTTCAGGCTGGCCGGGACGTGGAGATGAAAAATCAGCAGCGTCAGGCAACCTTCTCAGCATTCGCTTCTTGCGGCACAGTGAACAGACAACCGAAGAAGTCTGTGCGTGCTGCGCGCACATATGGTTTCTGCCCCCAAAACTCTTAGCTGGCGCAAGGCAAAAACATGCGTAGCAAAGGACACAGACGGTTCTGTGCGCTTCCGGCACTTTTGACAGTGGTGCCGCAAAACATCTGCTAGCAGCGTTACAGAATGCACCGTTGCTCCAGGTCCAGCAACTGAACCAATCCTTAGCCGAAGTGCAGAAGATGCTGCAGATGAGCTATGCACAGGAGAAGGCGTTTCCTGGCGTTGAGTGTCCACCTGAAGCTTGTGTGGAGAGCAGCGCGTCGCAGGTTCTGAAGGATCGCATACGAGAGCTGGAGTCCAGCCAAGGCCGAACCCATGTGGCAGGAGCACTGTGCTGTGCTAGTCTTGCATTGGTGCATGCCACTGGACCAGGGCCCCGTCAGGGGAAATACTTGAGGGCCGCTTACAATCAGTCGCACTTTTTGCAAAGAGCCGTGTAAAGCAAGGCCAACCTGCAGTCGCAGGAGATTACTTGAAGCATGTCGTGCTCAAGTATATCGAGTACTGCCAGAAGGGTGATCTGAAATCTCAGTCAGGCCCCCACGCAGGTTTTTGGGGCTGAGGGCAGCCAGCAGAATTGTGTGCTAATTTACCGAACTGCTGGACTAGTTTGACTAGTTCACAAGCTTCAAACATGGGCCATTGAGGTCTTTGGTGCCCGTTCTCTGCACGCTGCTGAACCTTTCGCCAGCGGAGCGCAGATTGGTGCTGCTGCATGTGTTGTCAGCTGAGCACACCGTACGCTCTGAGACTCCCACAAGCCGATTCTGACAGGTGGAACATTCCTCCGTCCCTTCTCCCCTCCTGCACATCAACCAGGCCCATGCCAGTGTGCAGTGTGAGCTTATCTTCTGAGCGAAGCAGAACGGGCATTGGTAGAAAGGTGGCAGGCGCGGCGGGCGCCTGGCTCTGGTCCGGAGAGAAGTTGCCGGAGCTGGGGCCCCATATGAAGTAGGACGAGTACACTGATCTTCAAGCCATACTCCGCCAAGGACTGAACCAGAGGGCCTCGGTTGAGCAGCGACCCCTGGGGCACGAGCCACCATGAGCCACGGTCTTGTGGAAAGAGGGAGATCTTCAGAATGTGAAGAGGTTGCCGAAAGGCCTGTATCGAAAGCTGCAGACTTCGCATCCATCAAGACCACGGGCTTTCACATCGCGCCGTCAGTTTTCGCGACTGCAGTCAAGTCAACTCGGCTTCTGTACGTCAACAACAAAAATTCAGCTTGCGTTTGCCAGCTTGCATTAGCGACCTTCTCAGTCTTAGAGTCTTTGTTATGCTCATGACAGGCCCGCTTCGCTCTTCGTCCCCGCTCTGCATCTGGTATCTCAGCTGCGCAGACTCGACACAGACAAGTGACAAGAAGTTTCATTGTTCAGAAGCTCGGAGACTGCAAGCGGCTGCAAGCGCTTTTAGAGCGTCACTGCCAAGGATGCTGGGCGAGGGCAGTTGGTGGCACTCACTTTCCGCGGGGCCGGGAGCCGGGAGAGTACGAGCATGAGGGCTGTAGCCCCACGCATGCAGCGCACTCAGCGCACTCGCAGATCATGCTCGTCTTGATCTTCGACGCGGAGGTTCACATAGATGCCAGGCTCTGGTCTTAGTGAAGCTCCAGAATCAGAGCTGTGCAGGGTTGGTGAACACGAGAGTCCGGGTAACAAAATTATCCCCAAGTGTGCCCATGTGGACGAAAGCGAATATTGCGTCCCTTTCGACTGCAACACGACGCTGCTCATTGCCAGCAGGCTATTGGAGTCTTTGCGGGATTTCTGCAGCCGAAGTTCGGCTGGCTCCCTGGAGCTGCGTTGAGGATTGTCTGAATGCTTTTGGGATCTTGGGCAGTTTTCAATTTCAGGGTTTGGGGGACTGTGTTTCCCACGCGTGATTGTTTCCGTTTCGGGTCTTGTACACTTCAGTTATTCCGCGGAGCAGACTCATTTCTCCTTGACCGGCAAACTCTAAGTGTTACAAAGTCTTGATGTCCAACACTATTTGTTCAAGTTGGTCGATGTAAAAGCAAGTGCCTTTCGGGCATGGTAGTGCCTGCCAGAAGACTCCCCCATGTGCCAGCTTGGCATCAAGGGCGATGGCCTCTCACTGGCAGAGCTTCATCCACTCATCGTCCCGCAGTACGCCCAGGTCATGGAGCAAGAGGTGCTGATGCTAGTGCTGGTAGGGCTTTGCTGTCCTTTGCCTGAGGGGCCGCAGCACTCTTTCTTTTTACGACCCTCTGCATCTAACTAAAGCCGTGCCGGCGATAGCTCATGCCAGGTCTAGCCATCAGCTGCGCTTGTTTTCGCTTTGGTCCACTTGGATTCGCCTGTTTCGGCTAAGCAGAGCACGGCCTCTCCGATCCGCAGCGAATCTTTGAGCCAGGCTTACCGGGTTTCGGTTTGAGGACGTTGGGCCCGGAGGATTTAGAGCATAGGAATCGACAGTTTGCACTCAGCACTTTAGGCCGTAGCCTCAAGGTTGGGCCGTTGGCCAACTTGTACATGGATTCTGAAGATCGAGGCCTCACGGCGCAAGGCTGAAGCGGGCTTCGCAGATATGGAAGGTGAAGCTCCGCTTGTACCTGGGCTGCAGCCTAGTGATGTCAGGAGCAGCAAGAATCAGAAGCTCACGAAGGTATCCGAGGCGAAAGCCTGGCCACAACCTCGGCCTGCTTCGAGCCAGAGCGCGCAGCAAAGCACCCAGAGTTCGAAGCCAAGCCAAACCATGGCCTTTACGGCCCCCACGGCGAGCCTGGGCATGGGCAGCTTATTGACCGGGAAGGGCCATATCAGTTTCTACCCCTGCGGCGGTGACGAAAGAGAGGAAGAAGGCCCAGCACCCTCCAAAGGAAAGCCTCAGCCTTGCAGTAGCCAATGTATCTCCCACACAGAGCGTCTCCAACTCGCGAGATTGGACCTCCTGAACGGAGTTGACCCGAGCTACCTTTCGGAGAACGAACGCTCCTTCCTGGATGGACAAAGCAAGGAGCAGCGGAAGAGAATGTTCTCCCTGACAGAACGTGAAAGAGCTGCGCTGGATGGAGCGAGCCTGGACGAAGGGGAAATGACCCAGCTGCCCAACTTGCCTGTGTCCACAGCAGCCAAGCAAATGCTGCCCTACCCTTTGTCAGAGCCTGTGGAGCATCCACTCGACGTGGGAGCACTCCTCAAGAACACGGTCAGCCGGTACTTCCGCTGGTTCTGAGTGGTGGCGCCAGTGTAACTTGCACTGGACAGCGGCGTTGCTCGGGTCCACGTTCAAGTCTCAGTGTCTCGACCAGTATGGTCTTCTTACTCCGGCGAGGAGCAAAAGGGCTTGCAAAAACAGAAACGAAACCCTAGGCTGCAAGAAGATCGGGTCGCGGTCGTCAACATGTGGAAATAGCACCATCGATACCACGGTAGCCGGGCGAACATCTCCACGTTCGATGAAGACCTCGCCAGGATGAGTATCGCTTCGTCTACTACAACCACACCAACCACGCGCTGCGGCTCTCCAATCAGGCCTCCGCTGCTCTTTACGGCACGCGTGGCTCTCGGCTCCCCCTGCTCGTTGTGTGCAAAGACGCGGCTGATGCAGGCGAGCATCTCCAGGCGGGGACTGCCGGCTGCCGACGAGACGCGACGAATCTCAAAGCCGCAACGTCACGAAAGCCTTGGAGCCTCGTGGAGCTGCGGAGGTCCCTTTTGGGCGGGAGTCGCGTCGCCAGCGCCGGCCCCAAGCCTACGGAGAGGGTCCGGAGCCCAGGGGTTCAGAATGGTTTGGGAGTCGCTGAGTTTGTTGAAGTTTTTGTTGTTGTGCAGCCCTGCAGCAAAAATTCAATCCTCGGTGACCTGCTGGTACAGAAGACAAGGAACCGTGGGAAATCGGAAGAGTTGAAACTCTTCGAAATCGAGTTTTGAGGGCGAAGACTGCGGGGGCCCGTTGTACCGAAAGATAGTGACTTCAGGAAGAGAAGTTCTGAAGGGAGTGCGTGTTTATGTTTCGCAAAGATCTCCAAAGTTCCCATGGACGTCTCCCTACGGTACCAAATCATCTCCAAAAACGGATACTCGCAAGGGGAGTTCCCGAGAATTGCGAAAACCACTGGAACAAATCGACCCAAAACTTACACCCCACAAGTCGGAATTGCACATTCAAGGTTTTCCGAGTTGCCATCCGTCATCCTGAATCGGCTTTTGTTGGAGTCTTTGCGACTGCATGGGGCGCCACTGCGGAATGCTCGGGTCATGGCGGGGAACAGTTACGTCGCTACATGGTGCTACATGCGCACACCAACACAGTAAAATCGTCAACTTCTTCCCATTCGTGGCCCCGAGTAGTCTAGTGTGATGCACATTTCTCGCGACATGATGGTGTTCTGCTGATCCTTGCCACATTCCTCCAGTCTAAGGCCTTTCTCGCACCACTGCGGGCAACTCTGGCAGCGTTGTCCTCAGACATTTCAGGAGAAAGAGATTCGGAGTTATAGAAATGCTTTCGGACATGCGCTAGGCAGATTGTAAGGCAGCCATTCGGGAAAGAAGTGGAACCTGAGGATCCAAAGATGAAGTGCCGTGAGGCAGGTTTCGCTGATTCATTAGCCACTGGGCCACATGAGCGAGAGCTCGTACATCCGACCACGTCGTTGTTCATCACTGGATCTTCTTGCCAGCTGATTGCATGAGTCGCAGAGATCACCGCAGGACTTTGTTCGTCCAGTTGAAGGGGACTGATTCTCCTCGCAGGTGTCTTGGAAATCCGCTGACCGCGGCTGGGTGTGCGCAAAGAGGCGCATGAGCAAGATATGTTTCATGGGCATCAAATCGGAAACATTGACGCGTCAGCAAGTTATACATCTTATGCGTGGCATTGGCAGAACAGCTGCATCTTGCTGTGTGGCACACGCTGGGACCCGGGGGCCTGGGGTTGCAACTCGGTCACACCTCACCCAAAGCAGGACACCACAATCCCGGTGCGATGCACGTCACAAGTCTAGTGAATCTGGCTTATGTGTCAACGTCGGGATAGGTCTGGCGTGGGCGGTGACATCTTGATCAGTCTTCGTCTGCCCGTGCCCGTCATGCCAAGCCCTTCCCCGGTGGTGTTGAAAAGGTGGCATTTGCTGTGGTGCATCTATGTTGCTTTCGTAGTTGAGCAGCGAATCAGTCATGATAAGTCCTCGTCGGCGATGTCAAGAATTCACGATGTGAGGTGGTGCGAGCGGGAGTTTTACCTGCTCCTGGATGGGACCAGCACATCCTTGTCGCGCTGTCAAGACGAGTGTGCCAGGCACAGATCGGTTCATGTCCAGTCAAGGTGTCGGGCTGCGAAGACAACATGCTATCGCTCAGCGGGTGCGACGCGGCACGCGCTGTTGGCACGTGGAGTTGGTATGTGCTGCGGCCCTCGCCAGGTTCGCCTCGATTCATTTCAGCAACATCTTCATGATGTAGCTGAGTGCTGCCTGAACTCGGTGCGCAAAGAAAGAGCTCTGCTGGCTTTATTGACGGCAGCTCATCGAAGTGCTTTCAGCTTTCGGCTGCAAGGCCCGGCCGTTCTTGGAGCATCGCAGGCCCTCTTTTTTGCTCAAATCTCAGTTATGTGAGTCGCACGCGATACAGGCAGAACCTCAGGACTTCGGTGTCTCGTTTGGGAAAACACTTTGACACGGCAGCTCGTCGATTGCCGCCAGCCTTAGTCTCGACACGAGAAAACGCTATGCAAGCTGTAACGCTTGCTTGATTCATCGGCAAGCATCTGCTTGTCGTGAATTCGTCCAATGGATGAGAATTTGGGGCGTTGCCAGTCAACGTCGCAGTGAGCAGCCCCACACTCAGGAACTTCTCTTATGGTCCGTCGGGTTGAGATAATGCCATTGGCCGCAAACACTTTGTGGCTTTTGGGTCCCTTTAGGTCTGATGAACCCGCAGTTAATGGTCATGCACTCCTTATGGGAGACGAGAGGTAATGCAACTCGCCGAAATAAGTGAGTTTTTGCTTCGTTTTCAAGTTCCGAGAGCTTGTGCTCCCAACGCCATCACAGACAAACCGCACAGGGTTTCTCGTACATCGAGCATTTGGCTCGAAAGCAAGGTGCATCTCGCATGGCAGTTTGTTAAACATGTCAGCTGAACCAACGAAGCGAATTTGTTACTTTAGTTTCAGTAATACAAGCAAGTCGGTGTGCACACACGTCCTTGAACCAAGCAACTAGATCTGCTCAAATCCAATCTCCCTTCTGTTCACACACCTTTCGCGATGGTAAGTGCCGCATCGCGCTGCCGACGGCAGCACTTGTTCCAGGCCTCCCGAACATTTTTCCGGGGCTGGAAAGTAATGCGAAGGGAGAGTGTCACACACTTGGTAGACAGCATGCTTCAGGCTTTGCTCGCATCGTTTGTGTACCTCGGCTTCTGGCACAGCACGTCACTTTTCGTCACCCGCGGCTTCCGCGTGCAGCGGAAGGCAACGAAGGAGGCACATGAGTTAAATGCTGTTTGCACACCTGCTAGCATGACACACTGAGAAGCTAGGCATCTGCTCAAAACGGCACGACCTCGTGGCACTATGTTGCACTTTCACCCAGGTCTCTTCCTTTGTAAACCCTTGCATTGCAGAATGGCTCGTAGCTTCTTGCCACCTGACCTGACGTTTCTTTGCAACACTGTGTGTGTTTGTGTTTGTGGAAATCGGCGTTTCTGTTTGTCACTGCTGGAAAGGACGACGGGCCAAGCCGCGACTTCTCCGACCCGATAGCGAAGGCGGGACGGAATGGGTAGAGACAAGAGTGCACGTGTGGGTGTGCCTGTGGGTGGGTGGATGGCAGCTCGTCCTGCGAACTAGGCCTTTTCAGCCGGGCCTCCGTTGCGGATCACAGATGGAGGCCGGGGAGACACGTCGAAGAATGTCGTGAATCTGTAAGTCCTTCAAGGGGAACCTTTTCCGCTCTTCAGGGGTCAGGAGTTGCGACACATCCGATCTCCTGTAGGCCTGCAGCCGGATCTCTTCAGCAAGGCCGAGGGTTCGCGAGTGAAGTGGGGCGTACTCAAGGACTCACGGAAATCAGCACTTGTGTCCACAAAACACACGCTTGGAACTAGGGTGGCATCGCCAAGCAAAGCCATGCAGGAGGATGTTGGCATCATCGATCGAAGCGACGCAGCAGAAAGGCAGGCGATTGACATCTGCTTCTTCGGTCACTTAACTTGCTTGCAGAGCACCCGTCCCTCCCACAACATGACTCTTGGCTGTTCCGAGAAAGGCAAACATTCGCTCGCAAGCCTGCCGCGGCCGGTGTTCGTCGTTGGCCTCTTTCGACCTGCGAGCTGTTGTTGCCGTCGTGTGAACACGCTGTTGTGGCCGACGATTCGGAGATGTTCGGAGGCTTCGGGTCAAGCGCTCCCCCTTCACACTAATGTTGCAAAGAAGCTCCTTTTCTGGTTCGTCCGGGTGTTGGAGCACACGTAACCTTGCCTCGCAGAGCTTCGGGCACTCAGGACTCAGGGGTGCTTGTGCGTTTCTCAGGCACCGAAAATGCTTGATGTCCAGTCACCAACATGTTGGCTGCTCCTTGCTAGCTGTACTCAGCAGCAGAGGAGGCGGTGTGAGTAGGGATCGGGGTCGGGAACGAAGTTCCACGATCGAGCAACAAGTCTGTCATAGCTAGCATAGATGAAACCCGGCACAAAAGCAGGGTCGATGCCCCAAGGAGCGTGTGCGTAACCAGAACCGTCACCCACTCTGGTTCCACCTCGTCATCGGCAGTCTGTCAGTCAGATGACATTCCATGCGTCACCGCTTCGGGATGCAGAAAGTAATGCCGAGCTGTCATATGTGACTCACCCGAGCACTGTAGTAGTGGCATTGTTGTCCACAACTACTTGCCGAACTGAGGCACCGCCAGTCTGAAGGGAAGCCTGGGCTGGGAACCACAGCCCTTCCGTGAATAAGAGCCCCTTCCCAGCAGAGCGTTCCTTGTCATTTCCCATGCAGTTGCCCGCTGCCCTTAAATTCACAATCGAGACAAAAAACACTTCGGCTCTTCTTGCACCCTGAAACGAAGCTTCGAGAGGCGTCGGGCCGAGCTTCGCGAGAAGGCAGCGCGGGAACTCGTGGCTTGGTCTTCAAGGCATAACGGCGTCAGAGTCCACCGCGGCGAGCCTAGCCAACTCCTTGGTCAAACAGGGGGAGTCGGCAGTGACATACAGGAACCACTTGGACCTCCTCGCAACAGCTTCAGCCATGGACATGTTGCAGCCGGATCAGATTTCGAAATGCCCAGTCAAGGTAAACATTGATGATGCAGAACGTGAACGGCGGAAGGCAGGGCAGCCAAAGATGTCCATGGACAGCCTTCTTGCAAAGGAAATCGTTTGCCTCGTTCGAGTGGTTGCCAGGTGGCAGGTTATGCAATGGCTGTTGTTTCTGTGCTGTTCGCAGCGCCTCTCGGCTGTTTTGGATGCCGGTAAGTGTTTACTTGGGCCTGCATGATTTTTTTTGCATTTGATGTTGTCCCCTTGCGGCGATCGTCTGTTGGAGGTATTTGCTTGGAACCTCGGCGCCGTGGCAACCTGACTGACTGTCAACCTTACCTATGATCCTTCGTTCTTATGCGCGACATGCAGAGGTACAGCCGAACGGCGCTGTTTCCAATCGTCGCCTTGTCGGGAGGCTGCTTAGCTAGTCCTAGTGACCAAAAGCTAGCAAGCAAAATCGCAGTAAATGCGGTTTTGGCATGGGAGAAAAACCAGACTCGCCTAGATCTTGATTGCTCCGAGGTTTCGTGACATCCGCTGAGGACGGTACCTATAGGCAAAACCAGTTGGCCCGGTGATCTCCCATTGCTTTGAGCAGGATGAAGTTGCAGAAGATGATGGGTGTGTGGGTGTGTGGGGGTGGGTGGATCTTGGTGGCTGTGCGCAAACGTGACAATCTCTAGAAGATCTGACTATAATAAGCTCGTGCTCAACTGCACAACCAGCCGTATCCAGTTGACAGCTTCTGGAAATGTACAAAACTGCTTCGCGACTCGACTGGCGAAAGCATAGCTTGTTGCGCAGGAGGGCCTCTGAAATATTGGTCAAGCTGGACTCTGGGACGTGGATGGAACAGGCATGCAAAAGGTCCAAGATCAGGACCTGGCCAGGAGTCTCTGCTGACTTGGACCGCTCGGTTTGCAAGGGTTTCCAAAAGAAGGGTCGAAGCGGAACGGACTGCACAGCTAAATCATTAGGCCCTCAAATGGAAAGCTTGATGGCGTTCCCGGCCCTAGGCTCCAAGCCTGCCAATCCTGCGAACAAACGACAAGGAGGACGCAACAATCGGGCTGCACGATGACGAAAAAATCGCTTTGGAGTCCATTGCTTGATGCTCGCGACAAACAAACTGTTTTCTATCATGCAACCAGATCCGGGAGTATCCGTGTTGATCATGTGCCCATCCCACTACGATGGTCCTTTGCAGCACCATCTCTTCGTTTTTGCACAGCATGGCCCTTGAGGTCGGGGCCCTTCGTCTTTGGGGCAACACACGGTTTTTCAGATTTTGTCATTGCTTGTTTGTTCGAGGCCAGCGTAGGCTCATTTCTTCATTAAGCGTGTTGAGAAACGGGGTGTGTTCGGCCGAAGCCCAGAGGCTCCGTTCCTAGACCAACGTGTTCTTCAGTTGGTTACAGCAGGGGTATCGTTGATGAACGAAGGCACCTATTCCAGTTCTGTTGTAGTGCACGAATGAAAGGAAGCTTCGCGAGAAAGTGAATGCCTTCAACCAGAAGTCGCCTGTCATCCCTGCGATCGTCACTCTGGCCTTCATCATCCTGCCAGAGATTGCTCAGAAGCTCACCGCCTAAGGATTGGCACGGAGTCAGCAGCGGCATGTACAGAAGTTCCATGTACAGAACGAGGATGTGTAGAACCCCATGACGATGCAGACTGCAATAGCCGCACTTCTGCAAAGCTTCCATGAGAGAGACCTGACATGTTCCAACTCAAAAGACCCCGGCGGATTGCATGATGCCTTGGCCTCGTCTGGTAGAACTTGTGCGTCAGCAATTGTGGCACGCGTGATATTGGCTCTTGCGGTGTCTTCGAGTGTTCGAGCCGCTGCGCAGCCCAGTGATGCAAGAAGTGCCAGTTATAGAAAGGCTCATTCTTCAAAAGGCCAAAGAACCTAAAGATTACGAAAACAGACACTAGGGCTTCAGCGGTCAGGAGCACTGCAAGGCACCGCAATGAAGATGCCAGTTGATAGCGCCACAAGCCTGATGCAAGTGACCAAGTTTGGCCCAGGTGAGCCTTGCAAATCTACCCTGCGCCGTCATGCAGATAAAACGGGTACATTCGAGCTGGGCAAAACCGCTCATTGATCCTCTGGTGTCGGTTTTGCTTCGTTTTGGGAACGGCAGCGCTCTCGCGAGAATCGCTTGAATTCACATGCCGCCGCCGAGCTTGTGGTGAAGGCAAGAATTACGTGCAAGATTTTCGACAGGGCTCTCAGGAGAGTTTGAGTTGCGCTGCTTGCGTCTGCTTTCAAGCGAGAAGGCTTCTCCGCCTGAGATTTTCGGCCTGGCCAAATTTCACCAGGGCTCAGCTGATCTCAGAAAGGACATGTCTGTGAGCTGGGATTGTGCATGAATCGCACAGCAAGTATGTCCTTTGCACTCGCCGCTAGGTCGGCCGCGCCAACCACAGGAACAACCGATGCGCCGGAGCAACCGCGGCCACCGTCTGCTTCAGGGGACGAGCACAGGCCGCACCCAGCAGCACAGCCAAGCAGTGGGTTTTCGCCACCCTACCGTGGCACAGACGATGTCCAGCACTCCCTGCAGGGCGAACCTTTCAACGGCTGGCCTCCGAGCCTTGGCGCGAGTTCGACGGGAGGCCATGGCCGTGTTTGCCACTGTGTCGACGTCAAAGTGTCATTGCTGCGCTTTGCAGCAATCTGATCTCTTTGTTCGTGCACATGTCAGGCGCCTGACCCAAGCATGTCATAGCTGAACAGCTCAGCCCGAAGCTTTCAAGAACAGGTGCCTGTGGACCTGCGCCTCAACAGCGAGGACAGTGTCCACAAAGTCAGATCTTGAACCTGGTGAAGCGTCGCTGCAAGGACGCGAGAAGAATTCAGGACGTTTTGTGAACTTCCGTGAACACAGGAACTCCGTCGTGCCGCAGATGTCGCTGCACTGATTGAGGAGCCCAGGGCAGTCAGTCGGGTGTGCTTCGAGCATGATCGGATGCCGAACGTTCTTGGCAGGCTTGTGCCTCCGCGCTTCAGCGCGGTGGCCAGTCTCCTAAGACCTTGGCGCTTGGCCCATGGGGACCCGGATCAGTGCTGAAAAACGACAGAAAGCAGCCGAGCTCTGCTGAGCTAGTCGCGAGTGCTTCTGCATCCAGGACAAGAGCCAGGATCGGACGCTGAAGCTCCAGAAGCGGCGATTCAGGCTACAGTCGGCAAAAAGCGTCGCAGACGGATTCCAACGTCTGCAGAAAGATTTGTTTTTGGTCCGTCTTCCGGGGTTGATTTCCATGCTCAGAAGATCTGCGGCCGAAAGAGATGACGCGAGGAATGAGGGGGTTTGTCGCACCAGGCGTTCATCCGCTCGAGTCCAACCTGGACCTGCTGGGCCCTGCGAAGCGTCTCAATAGTTGAGCCGCTGGTCTCTGGTCGAGTGGATCCAAATTGTCGTTAGCATTTGCCTGTGGTTCTTGGGAGCGTGACGACGAAGGGCTTTCTGACCTAGCCACACGAAGCACATCAAAACTCATGTTGAGAGCTGCATAACGGAAAGGGAGGAGTGACAGGCATGCCCAAGTAGCAGGCTGTCTCGCATCTGCCGGATAGCACACCAGCAGCACGACAGCTCCAAGAGAATTGATTGCCAAATTGTGCCCTGACCCACGTGCCCAAGGATACGTGGTATAGCCGATTGCGCGCCCTTGCTGGGCGCGGCACTTCGTCCCTGCGCAGTGCGGATACTTCGAGCCTTGGTTTCCACGCCATGCAATCGCCTCGTTTTCATGGACACACCAATCCACGATTTGTCGATGTGCAGACGCATGTTCTCAGGATTACAGCACCTGGCTTTGCGAGGAGCCATAACGCCTTTGTTGGAGGCCTCGCAGCTGCAGAAGCAAACTTCTGGGCTGGGGCGATATGTGGCGATGCCTGTCCAAGCTTGATGCAGCCAGGCTTTCTGCAAAGACCAGCCTCGGCAGCTAGAGATCCTGGACCTGAGACATGGCATGATAATTCCAAACTTGGTACAGCAAGGCCGCATCTCTGCGACTCCTGTATGTGTTTAAGTTTCAGTTCTTGCAAGGGCCGGGTTCGTTTTACTGGACGACTACTGCGCAAGGCAACACCCCCTACCTCGGCAGAGCAGGGCTTGGCTAGTGCAGCACCTACAGTAGGAGTCGGAGTCGTAGTGCCACTTTGCAGCATCACGGCTTTGACTGGACGTTATCATAACCCCCATCCCCCACATTCCCCACCCCTGCATGGAAGGAACAAGAAAAACACGGCGGACATAATCCGCATTGCCATGGCCGTTTTCAAACCCTCATCCCCCCCTCCCCACCCCCGCACGGAAGCAAAAAGAAAAAGACAAAGGACAACACAAATGAAATCCGAAGTATAAACAGCCGACCAAGCAGACAACGGAAACGGCAAAGGCATGGATCGCTGTAAAGATAAAAGAGGAATGCGAATGTGCAAACACCTCGAGTTTCTGAACTTTTTCCAGGAAGACAGTGTCAAAACCGTTACGAAAGGCAACTCGCATTTGTTTATCCAAACTGCGATGTGCCAAAATTCGAGTTTTGGCACATTGCAGCCCCGACATCGCTGCCTTCGCGGCGGCACATGCGCCACCGGCCAACAGCAGCAAGAAAAACAACGACGACGGTAACAACAGCACGTTCATAACACTGCGGCTGGAGATGTGTAATGCGTGGCATGCAGAACAAGCTTCAAGTCCTGAGCAACAGAATTCTGAAGAAGCTCTTGCATAGCAAGAGCCATGCATCCAAGTTGCTGGCATGGCTTCCCTAGTGAATGAGTGAGTGAGTGAGTGTCGACCAGCACTTACGGTGCGGCCTACCTCCCACGTCCCTCTCAACATCTCAGGGGGGCTCCACAAGCGTCATCGCGCCCCTCCGTCCCAGAGTTCAAGCGGGGGAAATTTGACTAGTGCAGATAGGTCACGGTGTAGAATACTAAGATTACATGTTTCAAACCCAAGAATCGGAGAGGCATAGTCCTTGATCAGGGATAAAGCAGGCAGGAGGCCAAGCCAGACGTCACTAACCGATAATACCTGTGCTGGTATGCGCTGAAGAACACGCCAAGTAACCGGCAGCAGACGCAAAGAGTTGCAAGGGGGCGAAACCGTGCGGCCACTGCCGAGGAAGCGCGGCTCCATGCACAGAGGGCACACGCAAGGCGACCCAAAGGCGTGCGCCATGTGCCGAGGGAACACTCTTCCAGCAATTTCCAGCACCGAGGGCGAGCACGCCACCAATCAGGTACAGTAAATAAACGTACACACTAGCGCAGCAATGAACAGCACAGAGGCGCAGCCCTGGAACAAAGCCGATAACAAAGGCAGCAATCCAGGGAGCTGTTAATGCATGTGATGAGCGTGGAATACCTCACATATACACTGGATGTCCTCAGGCGCATGATGGGTGGAGACGTCGGCATCGTTGGATCAATTGCAACAACAGTTAAGCCAGAATACTAGAGGGCACTGTCGCCCTAGCACGAGGGAGGGGGGGAAAGGGGGTGCTCATCGGGCAACAGCCCTTAGTGCCGCCGCCCGGGGTCCACACCTTTCCACAAGAAACCCCCGCCCAAAAGAGAGCGCTAGGCCCGGGGGCAATGCTCTCCTGAACTGCACAAAGCTTGTTTGACCTGAGCCCGGTAAACTCGGATTGGTCGCGCCTAGCAAGCTGTTAAGATTTCGCATCCGACTGATGCATCCGATTTTGCAGAGTTTGCAACCTTGGAAGTCCGCCGAACAACAACACAAGTGGCAAAAAAAGAGTCACGGAAGAAATGATAAAATAATTAATGTTGTGCGTGGGTGCTTTGGCTGTTCATTTCTTGTTGACGTGATTGTAGCTCAGGCCGTTTCCATGAATAGAGCCGAAACGACAGTCAGGTTTGGTTCTGCTGCTGAATCTGCTACTTGAAGAACAAAATGACATGCAGACTCAATGACGCTAAGGAGTGGCAATGGGTTCACAGACGAAGATGCGGTGTCTCTGTTGTCGCTGACAACCCCCCGAGAAGGCAACTTGCTACTACTAGTAGTACTGCGTGAATTGGAATGGCAAGCGTCCCTCTTGACCTACAGGACAAAGCCAAGCAGCTTTGGAACTCGAAGGGTTGGTCTTAAGCTAGCGGCCCAGATGTTCTGCTGCCCCACACGTTTGCAGCCCTCACTTAAGCCCAGGATGTGGATTCTGCATTTCAATTCTTAGCCTGTTGATGTCTTCTCTATGATCTTTGCCTCGAGGTGCGAATCCGTCCATGTCCTATGCAGCAGACTCGGTCGAAGGACAAGCACCTTCAGCCCACCCTGCCGAGCATAGTCGTGGAAGTGAGCTCACTGAGGCCACATGGCAGAGCCTGGTAGCATCTCAACTCCGCGAGAGTCTGCGACTGCTGGATCTTTCAGAATGTGGCACCTGGACAGCGGAATGTGTCCAAGACATCGGTTCCTTTATCTGTTCCTTTCTGCGACAGCCTCTCATGATCCAAGGTGTTGGACCGGCGGGGGCCCAGCTTTTGGCACAGCTTCTGGAGACTTCGCCGCTGCGGGTGCTCCGGCAGGTTAGCAAGACAGGATTGTATAAGATATTGCAAAAGTTTGCCCTCCGGCGAATTCGGAGCGAGAGTCCTGAGTCTCCCGAGGACCTTTCGCTGTACAGATGCGGCATTGATAGAGCCGGGGTGTCCAAGCCTCGGATGCTCGCAGTTGCTTTGCTCTCTGCGAGCACTGATGATCTTTGATGGACTCACATGACCGAGATTGCGGCTCGTCACAGCAGCGGTGTCCTTGCGATCACTGGACCGCGATTGGGGGTTTCACTCCCTGAATCTCTAGGCCCTGTTATGATATTCCCAGCACGCAGGAGATCGACTTGTTTGTTTCGCTTCTATACATCGCAGTTCAGCAAACCTCAGCGAGCACACAGATCGGAGACTTCGTCGCAGAAACTCCCACAAAGTCTGATCGTGGCAGGACTTGACGGCCAATGCCCACCACGTGGAGGGCTGGATGCAGGCGCACGAACACTGGCTGAAGCAGAACCATGTCGCCATACCTAAGCAACTCCGCTCGATACCTTCGCTGACAATACTGCACAAGTGGTGATCAGAGTCTTGGCAGGCTGTTGGCCAACCGGTTGCAAGTGCTCTTCTTGGTGCACCTCTTAAGGCCCTTCAAAGACACATCCGACACGTGGCATTAACACCCAATTCATCTTCCAGCCGGGCACGCGCATTTCCAGACGGGATCGCAAGCATGCCTGTCCAGCAAAGCCGTGCGCAGGTGCTGACCTTGAGCTGTTCTGAGAAGGTGATGCAGGACCGGCAAGAGGAGTTCTCGAAAGCTGCCCTGCGTGACCACTGGTCAGGCCGCTGCCGAGCTTTTCGTGGGCCTCCCAACGCAGGTTATCCTTGTGCCGAACGAGCAGAACAATTACAACAGGCCAGCGCAAGAGCGGAAACGAAAGCTGCTTGGAGCAGTTGCAGTCAGACTTCATTTGGTGGTAGTGGCAGTGCTGGGCACCGCTAAACCTGACCAGGCTCTTATTTCTGGGTGAGGACTGAGACAAGCTGAGGCTGACCGAGGGCGCCCGAGGTCCGACAAAAGTTGCGAGAGTGGAACAACATGGAAAGACACTGATCGTCGAAGAATCCGTGCACAGCATGATCTGCTTTCACTCCGATGACATTGCGTGAATGCTGCAGTTCTGCTCAATCAGTTGCCACTCTCTGGGGACGGTGGGTGGCTCCAGAGCCATGTTTCGACCGCAGGGCAAAGGCGGTGTCAACTACGGCCCGTATCTCGGGACCCCTTCATGATGTTGCCTATTGCCGGCCGTTCTTTGCACTTTGCTGTCGCTTGTGCGTGCCTTAGTTTCGCTCGTGGCCCTTCAAAAGCTCGAAAGGCTTTTTGTTTCCCTGTTCTATCCACGGGATATTATCTCGAAGCACCCTGCGCGCACACCACTGCAAAAGATGCTGGAAGAGGGTCTGGAGGGAAGCTGTAGGAGGCTGTCAAGATGCAGGCGGCCCATAACAGAGCGGTTGTAAAGCAATCTACATTCTCCCACTTGCCTAGGTGACATCCCACCGAACCAGACCTTGTACGTTCAGCCGGCATATTGACCTGACCTTGGCGGCTGCATTTGTTGTTATGGAAAATTGACACTGGCGGGTAATGAGTAATGTTAGCCGCAAGGGTCCAGGCCTCGGGCAGTATTCATTCTCGCATGCAGTCGCGACATAGTCGCCGTCGCAAGCTCCAAGAGCCAGGTCAATGGGCTGAACGAGAAAATCAAGGTATCCGAGTTGAAGAACTGCCTCCTGGAACTCTTCTCCAGCTATGGTGAGGCAGGACGTCTAGCAGTTTAGCAGCAATCGTTTTGACAAAAGACATGCTAAAACGATTTGCGTTGTAGCTTGCTAGCATGGTATGCCTTTCGCGGCTGTATGACTTTCTGCTCTTTCTTGCCCACGCTTGCACTGGGAACATGTTTGACAAGCCTGCATGATCGCAGGTCATTGACATCGTTGCAGCTGCAAGCCTCAAGAAGAAGGGTCAGGCATCGCACTTTCTCCGAGAGTCCGGCTTCAAAATTCAACCTTCAGTCAAGTTCCAAACACAGAGAAAGTTCGAGCTTGGCAGGCCTTCGTGGTCTTCAGAGACATATCTTGCGCTACGAACGCGTCGAGGCCTTACAGCTATACTTCACTCACAACGCTGCCCGTGCTGCTTGAGGCAGGGCACGCACGGACACAAAAAACGATGTAATTCAAAGGCTTGTTTAGGCTGATGTTGAAACCCTGTTTTTTGTTGGAGATATGTGGTATTGTGTTGGAGATATAGTGGGAGTGAGTGGCTCCGCTTGTGAACATTGCCGAGGTAGGCTTTGTTTTGTCATCCGAGCACCGAAGACCCCAGACGCCCATTCCTGCTCATACCTGTTACCGCCAGCAAGGACGCAGAAAGAAGCGTTTGCAAGAGCTCCTTTGAGATCTGTGTAAAGAGTAGCTCAGGCTTCGGTCGTTGAATGGCTTCGTGTTTTTGGACAAGCCCATGAAGATCAACTACTGCAGGCCAGGGCGTGCAAGGGCCTATCTGTGGATTGCAGCTTTTGTGTTCCCGCCACAGGACGAAATCAGACGTCGTTGCTCACGAGGACTACGAATGATGTGCTTAAGCGGGCTTTGGCACTATGGCCGTGTTGCAAGAGTGGGTGACAGTGCAGTGTTTTGTGAGGACGGTACTTGGAAGCCTCGTGCAAAGCTTGAAGCCCAGAAGGAGGAAGCAAAAAGGCGTCGAAATAGGGTCCCCACGAAGCTTCGAAGGAGCGGCCGTGGCCCTTCTACACACTGACACTTGTGCATGTTGGCAGGGCGAAGACAGCACCAGCGCTGGTCGCCCCAAAGAGCGTCGCGCGACGAGCTGAGAGTGTTTTGGCTGCTGGCACCACTGCATCTTGAATCCGAAGTTCGGACGAGTTGCTATCCGTCTAAACCTAAAGGAAGAGCAGCTTGTATGCGTTCGTCCATCAGGGTCCGGATGTATGCAGTGTGTGTGAGCTCATCGTGTGCATGTTGAAGTGCCGTTGGCACAAGGCCCAAGATGGCAGCCCACCCGGCAGCAGTGCCAGGGTCCAAATCGTGATAGGGTGTTCCAATGGAGCATGGATGCGTTGCACAACTGGCACGTTCTTGTTTCGAAGGGAAGGCGGAGGAGCAGACGGTCAACCTTCCAATGTACTCTTCGTGGAAAACCTGCCAGCAGAGGCACGGCACTTCCCTAGAGCAGGCATTGCGTTTATTGCCTGGCACATGTCCAACCGAAGCTTGAACTAACGAATGTACAGCTAGGCAGCTAGCACGTTTACCCACCTGTGAGGTGAACGAGCTCATGCTCACCATGCTCTTTAGGCAGTATCCTGGCTTTCAGGAGGCCTGGAGAGTGTTCACTGGAGGAGCGTGGAAGTCAAGACGGATGCGCTGCAGAGCAAGTCTTGCTTCGGTGTCTCGCCAGGCACGACTCATCAAGGGTCGCAACGTGGCCTTCATCGAGTACTCGGACGAACTGCAGGTTCTCTCGTGGCGTTGCTCTGTTCTTCCGCCAATACGATGATCGGCAGCACCAAAGATCAGTTCCAAAGATCTATCTTCCTCAGCCACCGCAGACCAGTACAGTGCTTCAAGATAACAATCGGCGACCATCAAAGCGCATCAGTGCGGGAAAAACAGGGCACTGCAAGTTGTGGAGACCGCAGGCCGGAATCGCCAAGCATGGTCTGCAGGGCTTCATGGCCAGAAGCTTAGCATCGCAAAGCACTGCAAAAGCGTTGTCACGGTTGTTTCAGCATACTGTCGAAGTTTACAAATTATCGGGATTTGTTGTGGGACTGGAGATGCAGCCATGTGTGTCATTTTGCTTCGGTATTGACTCGGTGCTCAGTCGAAAAGCCTGGTGCGTGTTCACGGAACTCAGACCCGAAAGTCAAGACGCACTCGATTTGGCGATTCGCAGGTTCAGTTCGGAAGTATCAAGCACATTCGACCTACTTGACCTACTGACTGATTCGTTATCGATACATCAGTCAGCATCACTGAGTCCCCATCCAGGGTTCCATGCCATCCTCTGCAACAATGAACCAGCACACGAACTGTGTTACTTTGGCTCGATTCCGAGGTTTCATTGGGCAACGGACATTCGCGTAAAAATCGGGAGCAGTGTAGCCCTGGACTTGCCTGTATTTGACTATACTATACGTCCGGGAGACACGAGACCGCTAGTCCCAAAACCAATGCCAGAATGTAATCCAGATGGTAAGCGACTGCAAGCAAAGTGGCAAAGCTGCCTCCCTCCTGGAGCAAGGTGACGCCAGACATGGCCTTGAAGATTGCCTTCGCAAAGCAGTGAGCTGGGCCCGAAAGGAGGCCTCGCGGAACGGAGCCATTGACTTACTCGCTGCAGAAACCGAAAGGTTCACAGATGTTCACAGCATCGCCATCGCCACCGAAGCCTTTGCAGCATATGAGAAGGGAGCCAAGGACGTGCCAGCGAGTCTAGGGACTTAAGTATAGCGCGCATCAGCATGCAAGCACGCTGCTCTCGCAAAAAGAAGCGCTGGTTGCCCGACTGGACCCAACTTGCAAGCAAGCACAGGCATTTTCAGCAGATTCACCTCAGCTTTCGGACCGCAGATTGCTGTTGCAGCTGCGCATGGGCTGTGGAAGATGCAGCTTTGAACTTGGCTTGCCTCGTCGCACAGTTGAGAAGCAGTACGTACAACTGAGCGTGTCAGCGTGCAAGAAAGGTTGCTTTCCGGGAGTTGCGCTCAGGCTCAGTGGGTAACCCACTTCCCGTGCGCTTGGGGCATTGTCCCAGTTTCACATTTAGTTTGAGTTGCTTTGGCATGTTTGCCTGACCTGCAGCAAGTCACGTCCTGGTAACAGATTTCACTGAGGGTGTTATGCATTTTCTCTGATATTATTGTGACACTTTGCGTAGCTTGTTTCCACTCCTGCCGGCACCATGTGCGGGCGTGGGGCGCCGCATGCTCGGCAATCTCAGCTCTACATGAATCACGTCCCCGTGCTGCCGGTACCGAGGCTCACTTTGTCCGGAGATCGCTGCCGGAGAATAGCCGGGGCCCGGTTCCCAGGACCTCCCATCCATGAGAACTGCGGAACATGACAAATGTACTGCATGAAGGGGCGTGGCGGACAAACGAAAACACGCGGCTGCGAACGTCTCCGAACAAAGTGTGCCGGGTTTTCGGCCGCAAGCCCTGTGCTGTCCGGATGAGCTCGTTGAGCGCACACCACTGGCCCAGCCTAGCATCGATGGTCGCAGACATCAGGGAGCGGAAGCTTTCCAGGTACAACCTCGGGCCCATGAACTACGTTCCGGTCGTTCGCACAGTGGAAGGGAGCCAGGCACCGAGTTTTTTACCACCGGGAAAGTGTGGGCCTCCGGTTGAAGTTGCTTGTGGCTCATACGCAACAGCTCGTAAACCAAGTTCCTGTCTCGTTCAATACCAGGGGGGCCGTCCCATGGCGAGACCTCAGCAGTAGAATGTCCTGGCCCTTGTAGCAATGTGGAGCCCTTCCCAGGAGAACTCCGGAGTTTTCCTGTGAGTGCCCGTCTTCCCTAGGTGGGGCTCCGGAAGCTTCGCTGAGCCGAGAGGCAGGGCACACGAAAGTCACAAAGCGGCTGACTGGCTCACTGGTCAAGTCTCGGAAAGGTTTGTGCCATGCGCTGGGGCTTGGTCCCCTCATTTGCCAAGCGCGCAGAGGTCGCCTCGGGTAGATCTTCCTTGGAGCAAACGAAAACTCAACGAAGCGCCTGCAGGACTTCGATGCTTTCAAGGGTGGCAGCAGCACCTTCAATGCACGCGTGGAAGGCTTTGAATGAAAGCTTCTCAGTTGCTGGTCCAGACCCAAGACTCTGAAAGACCACTCGAAAGAAGTGCATTGGGTCTTGCTTACTGTAGTCCCACTGCCACAAAAGCCTACGTGTAGGCTTAATGGTAGCGACAATCCGAGCAGTTCTACAATCACATCCGAAAGTTAACTTCGCAAGCTGGTCACGTTCGCTTTAAATTTGTGTTTCCGCTTTTGATCGTCAATTCGGAAAAGGTGTCTCACTCCACTGGGTAAGGTCGCGGCATGGTTTCGATTGCATTGAACAGCCGCAAAGAAGTTCAGCACCGTCTGTTGTTTGCATAAACTTGGTCTTTCATAGTCGTCACCTGGCTTCTCTTCTTTTTCCGCAGCTTCGGAAAACCTACAGGAAGCCAAACAGTTGCTCCTGTGTGTAGGGTTTAGCAGACTTCACATGCCGTTTTGCTGTAATTTCGAACTTTCGGTTCAAGGCTCAGCAGTCAGAAGCCAACCGAAAAGCGCGCTTTTGCTGCGCAAGATGCGAAAGTGGCGCTGCCCTTCAGTACATGCACGCTTCATACCAGGATGCTGCTGTAAAGCAATCCAGTACTGTGTCACAAGGGCAAAACGTCATCAGATAAAAGTCTCACATTCCAAACGGCAAGATGCTAACGCTAAATTGACCCGGTGCCGCACACCTGCTGGCCCACTTGTCTGCCTTGATGGATGAACCGGATGAGCCAGAAGCGCTGCAGAGCCAGGATGAGGATGGGTCACCAATGGCGCAAAAACCCGTCAAAGGTGAGGAGATGTTTCGGAGGGTGTTGCAGCTGTATCCACTAGCTAATCCCCACGATTATTTCAAAAACGGACGGTGGCAGATAGATGTCATGGACGTTGATTTGGCGCTGTTGGAAGCTCACAGAAAAGAAGCCTCTGCACCCGAGCCAACTCCCCTGGATGATATTGTACTGCCAGATGACATGCCAAGAGAGAACGGTGTGAAGCGTTTGTGGACGCCTGCGGTCAACGGCGTCAAGGTCCTTCCGCAGAATGGAACGGCGACGAATCCGCGGGGCATCTCCGCAGCTGCGGTCAAGCCAATTGTACCAATCCCGATTCAAATCAAGCCAGCCAGTTCCCTCTATAGACCGGCTGCGAAGGCCAAAGCCACAGTCAGCTTGAGCAGGGTTCCTACCGCCAAGGCATCTCCTTACCAGCCCAGAACAGACACCACCAGACCAGCCTCAGAGCCACCGAAAGCTGGGATAAGACCAGCGATTCCTCGAGCAATGAGTGTGGTTATGAAGAGTACCACGGCTGAGCTTGAAAGGATTGATGAGTTCATCGCCAAACATGGTCTTGTACCGGTGCTCGCCAAGATTTCATTGGCGAAGCTTGCGGCACCTAGGCGTCACTGGGTTTTGGAAAATTATGATGGCTCCACGACCTTGGATGAATTCATCGGCAACTCGAATGCACCCCCGTTCATGGCAACTCAGACGCTTACACCGAGACCAAAGCCCAAGGCAACTGCGAAGCCGGCAACTGTGAATCCTGCAGTACCTACATTGCGGCCCTTGAAGCGTTCAATTCTCCAGTCTTTGTCAGGTACGAGCACAACAGCTGCCGGCACAGTCCGTGCAACGGGGAATCCATCACCTTACCGCCCTCTCTTGGGCCCAGGTCCAAGCAAGGTCCCAAAACTCGGCTCTTCCCTGAGGATGCCCACACCAAAGGTGGCAGGTCTCAGGCCTCAAGCTGCCATGGAGGAGCCTGGGTCTTTGATTCGGAGCATTCTAAGCAAGACCGGGTAGACTGAGCTCAGATCACGGAAGCATTCTCTGAGGATGAGCCAGCCTTACCATCGCTCAGCTTATCATCAATGCACCACCGTAGCTAAACATGTGCATTTGTACTGAACGTGTTCACCTGGTGCACCTTACACGGAGCGTATCAAAAAAGGCGGTCAGAGTGCAGTGCGTGCGCGTGCATCGGTGATATACGAATGTGCTGCATTTCACTTTCATGAAGATTTCGTCAGCCGCAGTTACAGAACGATGGAAAGTAAGGAGTCAGTGCAGACTGACTGGCAGTCTTGCAAATAATACGTCCCTCTCATTACTGTTCCTAAGCGGCCGTACACCATATCCACCCGCTTGTATTCTTTCCAGAAACGCGCGCTGGGTAGATGCCAGCGGGATGTGCAGGTGCAGAGAGCAGTAACCTGTGGCGTCGTCTACTCGATAGACGACGCTGTGTCATCCTTTTCGACGGCTTCTACGAATGGAAGGCTCGCAGCACATCTCCTTTGATCTGCGCGCCGCGGCTCACACTTCCCTGAACAGAACAGGTTTCTCCATCGACCTAGTGGTCTTTTATAGCGGTGCAAAGCAAGAAAAGAGAGAATAGATCATGGTTGCGAAACGAGCTGAAATGTGTGGGCAAAGGACAAGGTGAGACGATCTGAAACGAGCTTTCCGACCTTCATAGGCGGCAAAACTTGGATTCTGTCGGATGCGTGATGATCTGAGTTTCATCGCTTGCAGGGATAGTTGAAGCGAGTCAACTGCACTTTCGTACCGGCCGACATTAAGCCCTGCTCTGCTAGTCTAGATCGAGTCGCGCACAGACGAGTATATTGTGCTCGTAACCACAAATCTGCATGCAGAAATATTTACGACTGCTCACCTGCCTCTGCCGGATGTCAGGCAAACGGGAAATCAAAAACGCCCATGTTCATCCGAAACAGAGATGAGCGCCTTGTCTCAGGCACTAGTAAGGCAATGTTGCAGATGAATGTTGGATTCGGGAACGCGAAGTGATAGTCAGGTATGACGGCCACACCATACCATGGTCTACCAAAGCAGACGAGGAGCCATCCTGAGCAGGATTCTCCGGACACAGCACGCAAACCAGTGCGATCAGCGTGTGCTTCAGGACCCCAAGAAGATGGAAGAGTCTGACGAAAGCAAGCCAGACTCCCGACGCGCTGCTGGGTGACCTCACAAACAAGGACTCCGTGATACTGAGGACTGAGGGACCGGAGCACGCGCCTCTGTTTCTTGCGGGCCTCTACGATGTTTGGCACCAGAAGGACGCCCTAGGGATGCCTTAGGGCCTAGGTCTTGACTCCGAAAAAGAGGAGGTTTGCGAAATGTCTCGACTTAGATATCACGTTTAGGGCGCACCAGACGTAGCAGGCCCCAGCCCGAGTCTTCTGTGTCCTTCTTGGTTGGGAGGGAGGATAAAAGTGCAGGGTTGGGCAGAGTTCGTGGCTTTGACAGTTCAACTTGCTGCGAATCAGAAGTGGCAAAGCCGGGCATGCATCAGCTTCTGAAGTTTCAGTGGATATTTTGAAAGCATTCACAGGTGTTCTATGGTCACCAAGCAGCAGTTTCAACAAAAGTACCAGGCAACCGCATGTTCACTTCGGGACCCCCTCGACAGATCTTAGCACTGAACACGCCGGTCAGCTGTCGTAGGTGAAGGCACATCCTTGCCAAGCCTTTGTGTACGCCTGACATAGCCTGATCACGTGCAGGATGAGGCCGAGGAGGCTTTGGAGTCTGTCCGGAACACGGTTTGCATGACGTGTGCCGTGAAACTGCTGCTACACAAAACCCTGTGAACGCACCTCGCAGCTTCAAAGCTTGCAGATTTGGCCTGTTGCACTGCAAGCATGCCCAAAGTGGCATGCGGCACAGCCGCTGCAAGGTCACACTGCTCACAATGGATCCACAGCATACGGCCATGGAGAAGGACCAGCCACACAGCAGATTCCGCGAGAATTAGTCAACATTCCACGATGTCGCATAGACTAGGCTGAAGTGGGACTGCCTTTGAACACTTCGAAAATTATCTGCAGCTGTTTGTCGCAATCAGAGGTAATACGTCCCGCTGGATTCGCAGCAACTCTTATCAAATCGCCAGAGTGCAAGGATGCCACTGCCAAATCCATGCGACTTAGCATGTTACACCCCAACTTCGGTTTGAAGGCACATGGCGCAACAGCGAGACAGCGGCTTAATGAAATTTGTTTGCGGCCCAAAAAAGACAACGGAGTACCAACGTACTTGTCAGATGCAGGAGCAGTAATCAAAACGCAAGTTGGACACAAACTTATTGTGTGTCTTGCTGCGCGACAAGCCAATGAAGCCCCTGCATTGCAGGTGCACGACCGGATGCCCGTCTTCTTGACACCAGAGTGCGCCCTGCCCCCAAACTGGCTGGCTCTGCAAGCGCATGCGGCACCTGTCCAGGGGAACAGAAGCGGCTTGAGATGCAAGTGAAAGTCGAGTGATGCGGAACAACTTAGAACACAGCAGTCCTGTGCACCACCGAACTTCTCGGATCGCGGTGTCGCCAGTATTGCGTTCCCAGAGTTTGGTCTTGCGGTAACATACAATCGCACATCGTAATATGGAATTGCATGAGCTCGCTTCAGGTCAGACATTTACCTGCACATGCAGCCGTTCACAAGTAGAACTGTAGAACTGCTTTTGAAACAGTGGCTTCTGATCTTTTCCAGCACAGCTCGGCCGCCATGGATATTCCACCAGCGCTAGTGCCGATCGTCGCATCTCAGCTTCTTGCACTTGCTGGACTTTCTTTGCTGCTGGAACGAGCACCGGCAAGCAGCAAGAACGAGGCAGTGACTGCAAAAAAGGTTGCACCCGAATGACCCATCCAGATTCCACTGAGAGAACCCGAAAATAGATGCGCTGCTAAGTAGCACTTTCGCCTCCGCATGTCGATGTTTGAAACGTCCGATTAGTCATTAGTCCATGCCTCGCGTGCAGGAACTGACAGCAAAAGAGAAATGCGAAAACTGGTTTCTGGCCTACGGACTATTTTGGATCAGCTGTTTTGCAGACGCTCGACGTGGTTTGGTCAGGCCTGCTGGCGTTTGCTACAAGAAGTGCTGAACGCACATTCCAGGTGATCATAGCTTGCGGCATCTACGAGAACATGAACAAGTGGCACTACCTCCTCGTCACTGGCGGCCTCGCCGCACCTTTGTGCTTGCAGCCGTTGTTCTTCCCATCCCTGACAGGCAGAGCGGTAGAGTGGAGCAATGAAGCGATGAGCCACACACACACATACTTTCGCATGAGTGACGCCAGGTGAGAAAGACCTACCATTGCTGGAGCGGCACTGCACAAAGGCAAACGTGTGGATCGCAATCTACTCCTTTCTGGGCGCCTCAGCATCCTTGTTCTGCGTTCAAGCGCCCCAAAACATACTTCTGGCCTGGCAATAAGGAAACTATTGGGGCACACATTACTTCTACTGTGTGCTGAAAGCGCTGCCTTCCAGCACTAAAGGTGCTGAGTTAGCACATTCTGTGACCATGCCTGACCTGAGGAAGTACACCTTGCCATTCCTTCCAGATCATCAGCTGAACAAAGTGCCGGTGTGCATGCTACTCACCTGCAATACTGTTTCATGCAACGCAAGGCTGGTTGCTTTGCGTTGATCTTGAGAGTTCTTGGGGTTCAGGTATCTTGCCACGCACTTCTACTTCTGCCGCGAGACTGCACTTCTTTTGAGCCATCGTTCTGTGTCGCGCAAGCTCATGCAGCACACGGCATGGGGCAGGCTTTTACCATGCGCTTGGAAATAAAGTTATGCGCTGGGTTTGGACACGTTATCGACCTGGTGCCGCACGGACGACGTTCTGTGTGTCCGTCGCAGCTTGACGTCGGTTTTCAGCTAAACTGGGACTTCAGTGCCGCACTGACTTTAGGGGGGAGGCAGTGGGCCAGGGTAAGCAGCTTCCTGTTTCGTCTTGCCTGCACCCGATGATATCTAATCGATGGATCCACCCCAGCAAGTGGCCTGCCAGCCAGAGCTGGTTGCGAAGTGATGTGGCTTTTCGGTCAGGTCTGTGTGATGGCTTATTGCACTGCCTTCCTCGAGACATTTTCCATCTCAGCATTTCCTTACTACACCTTCGATGATCGCCAACAGATGTACACAGTCGGCAGCTCGACGCCGTAAAACTTGGGACGATGGCAACCACTTCTGCCCTCAGAGGCCAAGTGGCAGCAGTATGATTCTGACAGCGGCTTGATCGTGTTGACTGCCTTGAGGTTCTGCTTTCTATGCCCTCTACCTTGCCGTCTCCTTCCCGATGTTCGCCAGACTGGACTGGAAGCCAGGCACAGGTTGTTGCTTGCTTGTCGTGCTCTGGTGAGCTGGGTTGTACAAACGGACGCTTGCACGGCAAGGCCCACACACCCTGACGGAGGCCTAAAGCCCCGCCTGTTGCCGGCAGAAGAGTTTGCAAGCGGACACATGACATGTCAAACGCGGGTCCCTGTGGCACAGGCATGCTTGGAAGCCCTTGCTACCTGGTCCATCATCCTCTCTCTTCTGGACTTTGCACCTGAGCGAGCAGCGAAGAAAGTCACAGTGACACAGTACAGCTCGTTTCAATGCGGGTCAAGAACTCTTCCGTCGCCAGAAGCCACGGTGCCTCGTCCCAAGGTGCGCCTGGGGCTCGGCGTCGACTTTTACATGAAAACATGACGTGTGGACAGCGCGGATCGGCGAAACGCTCGGCATAGAGAAGTTCTACACACGAGCTTCAACGGCGCTTCAAGGCCTGGGTAGGGGTACATTTGTATGATCAGACGAGAGGTCTGTTCTTGTTCTCGGTTCCTTTTGCCAAATTAATCTGGTTCCCAAGCTCCGACATCACGTACCCCAATCGGATCCCGACCGAGTTTGATGTGCTGTTAAACCCCAAGTAGGTCAGCCGCGAAGTTGAGAACATGCGAAGTACCGAAATGGCATGTTTGATCCCAACTGCACAAGGCTACGGTCTGGCGTTTAAAGTTTGAATGCCAGCCTGCAGACAATGCCTTGTCTCGCACATTGGATGTGCATAGTATGCCACCTTGAGAAAGAGCAGCCTCACCCAAGCTTGGAGACCTGCATCTGCTTCTACCGCAGCGCAACTTCAATGCAGGGTCCGGCGTCACGCTGAGTATCTCTGAGCTGTTACTTCTCAAGAATGGTTATATTCGAGGCACAAGGGCAACGCAGTGCCACATCCGAAAAGCCATATCCGGTGGCAAGCCTTGGAGATGTTGGTTGTCGAGAAGGAATCGCGACATGTAGATGTTATCCAAACATCTTTATCCCGAGATCCGGTAACCCGAGACGGCAAACCCTGGACACTGAATAGAAAGGGATGTTTCGACAACCGTATTCCTGAACCTTACTCTGTAAGCCGGAGGGAAGGCTAAACCTTAAAAGCGGACAGTTGGTGTCCCGCGCTCAAACCGTGCAAAAGGTGATGCTGCACAAACCTGGAAACCTCAGAGGAGATGTTTTTTGGCTACTAGCCCGTGTAAATTCCTGTTGACAGGGAAACTCCATGTCGGGTACTCAAACAAGATTTGGTGTGTGAAGCCGCAACGCCCAAAAGGCAAGCCTAAAGGCCTAGAATCAAGAGATAAGCAGCAAGCCCCTGGCCGAAGAGGAGATGTTGGGTGGGCAAAGCGTGATCTTTGCCTGAGAGCACGGGTTTGCATACAGCAGTTGTGGTTCGATGCTGCGGGCTGTGAATGCTGGGCTGGAGCTCTCGGAAATCCTGGTCATCGACCAGGACGTCGAAGGCGTACTTTCCTGGCGACGGACTGGCAGCCATGTTGCAGCAACCAGATTCTCTGAGTGAACAGGACTGAGAATAGAGTGTCTCAGTCCTCAGCCACGTGACCTCGCGGAGCCTTCTTCATCCAACCGTCTCGTCAGTGCGAGTTGATTGCCAGGCCTGGTGCGAAAATCAAGCAGCATTCAGACGTTGTTCAATTGCTGCCAGTCGTGGCAATTATGATCGTTGCCTTGCATGTTGGCATGTTGCTGATGCACGGCTCTGCAGGGCCTGACTATCCTACTTACAGCTTGGCTTACAGTCCATTCTTGCAATTCAAGAGAGGATTCCAGGTGCCTTCAGCATACCAGCATTACTCTAATGAATGCAGCCTCGCCGAAACCCAAGAACGGTGCATGTAAGGCACATCACTGCCAAAGTCTAGCACAGAGTAGCCTTGTGAAGCCGACGTGCAATCCCAGCGGTTGCCGGCATCGCAAGACAATGTCTATGCCTTAGCAGAAAGCAGCAGCACCAGCAGCAGCAGTCTGCACGTAGCAAGTCGAAGACTGTACAGGGGATTTCTGATGCTGAATTTCGCGGCATGGGCATACTATCATAACGAGGCATAGTGTTTGCAGTGGCTGCAACCCACGAAGAAGTGATGCACGGGTTTGCATCGATTCAGCATCTTCACTTGGAAATCTGTTGAAAGGGTTTGTCCTTCAGGAGTCATGTGACGAAACAGCGATTCTCAGCGAAATCATGTGAAATCCTTCCAGATGTGCCGTGTCGCTGAGGTCCGGGCCGTCACCCCCACAATTCGCTTCCCTGTACGTTGGAGACCTGCACATAGATGTCACCGAGGCTCACTGGGGGTTTGGGGCTCTTGCATTTGTCTCGTAAAGCCACACATGCCGACAGCCTACTCCGACCACTCCCGACCTATGACTCATGATGCTTGCCTGCAGCTGCCAGAGTGTCTCGCCAGGCAATGTTGTACGAGATCTTCAATGCCGTCGGGCCAGTTGCCTCCATTCGTGTTTGCCGACCCCTGAGCATGTGCTCGAATGGCATGCTGAATTTTTAGTTGCGATGCGGCACTTGCCCGGGATGCTTGAGTTTGCTATAATGTGTCCTTGAAACTTTGCACTTCTCCCCCGCAATCCCATTGGCAAGACGTTCAACACATCTGCCGTGCGAAGCCTTGGTTCTGAGGCCGCGATGCAGTGACTCGCAAGTCACTGGGGTACGGATACATCAACTTCCACAGACGCTCGGCGGCAAGATGTTGAAGAATAACGACCTGCCACGCTCACGTGATGCGTCACCGCTGAGCTTGCAGAACGATAGTGGGGTTATGCAAAGACTTACGGCACACTGCACGCGAAGGATGTCGTCACGAAACAGCTACTGTACTACATCAGTCTGCGCATAAGACCTGAGAAGATGCTCCAGGTGTTGCCGATGCAGAGCGTGCCCTGGACACGCTGAATTACATGAGTATACGGGGTCGATCGTGCCACAGCTGCAAGTTGACGAGTCGGAGAACGTAAACCAGCATTCCAGAGTTTCAACCATATCGAAGATGCATCGGCAAATGTATCAGTCAGAAACCCAGAAAGCACTAGCCAGATGATTCGCGAACGCACCGAAGAAGAAAAGCACATACACACGGTTGCTAAACACGTGCCCCCCAAGCTGCTTGAAAGCCGCCACGCCCTCTCTGAATCCTTTGTGTTGGCTTCGAGATGTTGAGGGGTTGTTGACCAGGATAAAGAATTGGAGGCGACCATGTTGACACCCGGTGCACTGCACGCGCCCTGCACCCACAGAGCCCGTGTCCGCAGGCTCTCTGACAAGCAAGGCATTGATCCACAACTCGATGCGTCGCAATGCTACCGGTGTGAGCACACCTGGAGAGCTGCACTGATCCAGTGACCGTAATTGCAAAATGCATTTCCCCTTGGCGCAGACCCGGATTTCCTCACAACAAACCATGTCCAGGCGATTGGACGATATTCTTGAGCATTAGCTTGGCTCCTTTTCCGGAGCACATGAGATGCATATTAATGTGAGTGTCAAGGTCGACTCATGCTTGGAGAACCTGCAACCTTCGGCTCCCTGCGAAACAGTGAAGAACGCGCACTGACAAGTTGTCCAAATTTGTAAAACCCCGTGCTGCTTGGAGATATGACTTTGAGCGGACTGCCGGGGGTTGAATATGTGGGAATCAGGTGCCGTATCATGTGGAGTCAGCGAGACTTGGATTTATAAGTCTGTTCAATCGCAAGCTTGAGTGAGACCCGTGGTGACTGAGGGGATCCAACTCTGCGGAAGCCGCAGCCTCAACCGGATGCACTTAGAAGTTCAGTGCTTCATTGATGCACTTCGGCCTCTCTGCTCTAGTCACTGCAGCAGTCTCGGCATCACCGATGCCGACCTATGGTGTACGTAGTCTGAATCATGCGTCTGCTTTCGACAGCTTGTGTTTTGCTTCAGGACAGGCGCTGGAAACATTTACATCAGCAATCTGGACAAAAACATTGACAACAAGGTCCTCTTGTCCGCCGTGCCAGATGGTAGCCACTATGATCCACATTGGGCCCACTTGCCGGAAGTACGATCTGTCATGAGAACACCCCCGACTTTCCTTTGATGCAAGTTGCAGCGCCATGCCTTAGTCAAGTAAAGCTGCGACTGTTGTAGGCGCTTTATGACACCTTCAGCTTGTTCGGCAATATCCTCTCATGCAAGGCCTGGCGCAGGGTAGGTGTCCGTTCGAGCAGTAGCCTGTTAACATCTGTTAACAGAGACACAGAATCCGGCAGATGACTTCTTTGTCAGACTACAATCGTGTGTGGCCTTGGACCTTGCTTTTGAAAGTGCGAGCATAGATCTCTGCTGCTGCGTAACAGCTGGGGGCTCTGGCCGCAGAATGCATCGTCCCCGCATGTCTACAGCTATCCACTTCGTTACCTAAGTCTCCCTTCCTGCCTCAATGACTCCAGGTGGCATCTGATCCCACCGGCAAGCATCTGGGACGCAAACGAGTCGATCTGCCAAAACTAATCAGAGCTGTCCTTGCCTTGTCATAGCGCGTCTTGCTCCGAGCTGAGAAACTTTGAGAGCAGGGGAGCCTACACTCCCAGATTGCTCAATCTTTCAGTCGTTATGAGAACTGGTAAGATGAAGAGCGTCGAGGTCTCACGGCTATGGCTTCGTGCACTATGAGTCAGCTGATGCAGCGCAACAGGCAAGCGGGCTGTTATTGCTTGTTTCGAGTTGAACGGGCTACTGGGCGGAGCAGGACACAGAATCGAGCTTGCCTAGTGCCCTCAGTGCGTCTTCCTCTGTCACTCTTTCAACGATACCTGCAAGCCTTTGCTTCTATGCTAAGCGAAGGGACTTTCCCGATCTTTCCCGTATCTGTATGCTGTTGACACAGGCACTCATCGGAGCGGAAGCGTTCGGCATCCGGAACTCTACAGAAGCAATCACACTAACCTACCAGAAGCCCGTGAATGCCCGTGAGAAGGCCATTGAACGTGTGAATGGCATGATCATCGGCGAGCAGGCTGTGAAGGTCGCATGGCTCTGAAGGTGTGCAAGTGGAGCTTGAAGGCCGTTTCTCCACACGGCAACCGGATGAACCTTTGCAAAGGATTTCGCTCCATTTTGAAGTCCAGCCTGTGTGTGTGCGCATCCAAGGTGTGCCTCTTCCAGAAGCGAGATAGGGACCGACATGCCACACTGAGCCTATCTGCCAGACCTGGCAAGCTGCATACCCATTTTTCCTTCGCCTCGCTACCTAGTTAGTGACAATTGTGACGATGCTGGGAAAGTGTAGTTGCAGGAAGCCGAGAAAGAGAGCTATACCAATCTGTACGCCGCTGGACAGCAGTCCTGAGAGATTAGCTGGGTCTGAAGTTGAACGTCATGTTGAACACTGGATGGGCAGGAGATGGCAGGGCATCTCTTTCGGAGTACACCCTCAGCCCTGCGCCAAGGTGAAGAGCTTTCCATCCGATTGGGACGAGGAGAAGATGAAGGAGACCTAGACGTTAGTTCGGAGCCGAGCCACTGAAACAAGAAAGCTTGTAGATGGTAACGTGCGAGGAGTTCTTCAGCCAATGTGGCCCGGTCCAAGCCGCAGCAGTTCGAGTGGATGAGAAGGGCCGCAAGTTTGCTTTTGCGGCAGCCTCAGCTGTTCAAGCAGCGCGAGTTCTGCTGCTGCTACTACTACTACTGCTACTACTGCTACTACTACCACTACTACCAGTACTACTAAAACTACTAGGTCCATGGCGCATCGGCGTACATCACGAAAGCTAGCTCTGTTGAGCTTGCGGGAGTTGTCCTTTAGAAATTCACCTTGTATAAGGCACTAGGGAAAAAACAGAGTTTGCACCTTATCAGGTAGGACGTCCAAGAGTTAAGGTCGGGGGTGGGGGGAGGGGGTGCCGCCCCCCCCCTACCTCGTTCATGAAGTATCTTCGAAGGATAAGGTGCAGCGTGCTCCCCCCTCTGGCATAAGGTAGAGGGGTGGGGGGCCCTCCCCCTACCTTCAAGTCTCTCCCCCTCCCCCCCTTTCCTCGCAAGGTCCCTCAGTTTGCTTCTGTTTGAAGTCTGTTGCTTGCGCTGCGGCTTGGCTCCAGCTCTTCCGTCTCTCTCCTTTTTTTCAGTTGTAGTCTTCATGTCAAACGTCCCCCCCAAGTCACTCGCATCGCCTCACTAGTCACCCCGTGTTCCCAGCTACGCTTCCTTTCCCCTAGCTTTCGTCGCCCTCTTCTCAAGTGTTGTTTTGGGTACCGGAGCGAGTCAAGATACGAAGATAGATACTGAATGTAGTGTTTTTTGCAAGGCTTCAGGCCAGTTGCACGAACGAGTGGTGTAGGAGTCAAAACTCTGCCAAACATTAAGTCTCTTGTCACATGCATCAGCTGGACATGCGAGGCCGTAGCCGACACGTTCAGTACGCAGTACCAGTTGTCCGGTATGGCTATTCGCACGGCTGTTGGGCATGGAAGGTGAACTTCGAGGATACAGCAGATGCTCAGCGCTGTGTTGCTGAAATGCACATGACGGACCGGCGAGCTTCGGATGCGGACTAAATCAGAAACTGAAGTTTTTGGCTGTTCTTCGGCGACCGAGTGACAGCGCAAGGCCTTACGTGAGAACACGCTCAATTGATGGTTGTTTCCTTGTACACAGAGAACCAATGGCAGGGCTCCACAGCAGGCACAGCATCGATGCCTGCAGTTGGGAACCGCGTTTGCAGAAGCATCACTTGCAGGTAATGCTGTAATGCTCAAAAGTACAGAAATACCAAGAATTTGTTAAGATCACGTGGACAGCCAAGATAGACATCATCGCTCGGGCCTTTCAACATGAAGGAAGATGGTGTAGGCTCCTACCGTCAATACAACGGTCACAACACTGCGCAGGACCTGCGATCAGACGAAGAGAAGCAAGCCAATCCGGATGAGGACTACGGTTGCTCTATACACGCTCATGAGCTTGCGAACTGGGACGCTTTGTCATCGATTGATTCTGCATCAGGAGATCGGCCCCGACGGCCACCCTGTGACAGCCCCAGAAGCCTTGCAGTACTCCTGTGCTGCATGTGCTTGCACTGGCCGAAAGTGTGCACAGAAAAGATCTATGTCTCTTGACGGCACGGGGTCTGTTGGTTGCAGCCCAAGGTCGGTCACCTGTACGTGCAGCGAGCACAAACCAAGAAAGAGCGACAGGCGGGCAGCGAAGTCCGCGTCCGAGTCCGACTCAGTGTCTTTCCCCGGCCAGGCCGAGCTCCGCAACAAGTTCAGCGAAACCAAGAGCTCCAGCAGCTCCGGTGTTAATCTCTACGCGGCTCGGCCTCGTTTCGCCTTCCAGACAGCATTCGATTAGTCAGTAGTGCACGGACCGCGTATCTCAGCATTCAAGCACTGGGACGGGTTCGGGCAGAGACGTATTCAGGTCAAAAACCTCGAGCCAGATGTGGACGATGATTCATTGAAGCTTGTCCGACGGTTGTCTTGATGCAATCGAAGTCGGGACCGAGGGACCACCGAGGGTTTGCTGCACAGCTTGCATGCAGCTTTCTGAGCCCAGGAGGCAACTTTTCGAGCCTTTCGGACAGGCTGGCCATCCGCGCGACGTAGAGCAGCTGATGAGTGCGGGAAGTTGTGTCTTGGTGTTCGAGGTAACCTCCGCCTCGGCAATGAAGGATGCTGCTGGCAAGTGCAAAGGCTGCTATTTAACAGCGACGCTTTTGTGCAGATGTTGACGGTGACAATAGCCTGGGTCGTGACGGTTTCATTTCATGTTCATAAGTATATTGAACCGTATGTGGGGCTAGTTTGGAGTTGTGTTGTGGATATCGCACGAGTTGCACAGAGCCTGGTTTCACAACCACGGAATCACATGTTTGGTTCGCACGCGGCATGTATGTGCAAACGGCTGTTGACAGTCCACTTATGACACTGGCTAGAGGCTCTTGGCGTCGGCCTTTAAGCCACACTTCGCAACAAAATCTGTCAATGCAACGGGAGCATAAACTGTAAGCAGATGCGTTTAGTCGCTGTTGGGTGTGGGTTCGTCGACCGATACCATGACCCTAATCTGCCCCCCTGCCTTGCAAATCGTTCGACAAATGAACTCGCTAACCACGAGGTCAACATGAAACAGGTGCACAAAAGTTGACTGACATGCAGCCAGAACGGTCGACATACTTCAGCGGTACGGGGCTTATATGGCAGCAGTCACAACAACAATACATGATCATGCGAAAACGAGAGGAGGGAAATGCTTCCCAAGTTTCCTCTTGGAAAGGAGGAGAGCGAGCTGCACTTGCATAAATGAGCGAGAGTGCCCTTCCGAAGGCCCTCCCCCATGCTTGTCCGAAGGAAGGAAGGAAGGAAGGGACAGAGAGAGAGAGAGAGAAAGAGAGGCTTCCCTACAGAGGGAAACCTCTGCACCATAACCCTGGCGAAAGAAAGAAAAGGCTTCCCTACGCCATAGCCCTGGCGAAAGAAAGAAAGTGAGGTTTCGAACACCCCTCATGCCCCGGGGAAGAAGAAAGAGAGTGAGTGTTGTCCGGGGTTTCAGGTGCTCAGGGGTGCTAACTGCCCGTAGTACTAGCTTACCGCACCTAATACGGTGCACCCTACCGGGGGCCTCGCCCCTCAAGCCTGGCGAAAGAAAGTGAGTGTTGTCCGCGTCCAAGCAAGAGAGTGTGCTAAACCCTAAACCCCACGCACCCTAAACCCAAATCAAACCCTAAACCACAAGCTATTGTACCAGCCTGGAAATCCAGAATGCTCTAAATCCTAACCCCATGCATGTACCCCGAGCCTGGAAATGCATATGCATATGTACGCCTTCTCCCATGAAAACAACCCTATATATCTTCTGAAGAGCACATTTCTGAACAATCTGTGCTACATTGCTAAAAGTCCGTGCTATGTTTCTGAAAAAGTTGTTCCATATATCTTCTCTGAACCATGAGTTGTAAAATTCACGCACGTTTTCTGAAAAACAGCGCTCGTACATGGGTGAATGATGAAAGCAAGCTAGAATACATATAAGTTATGCATATATATATATGTATACAGAGAGGATATATCTACATAATGAGGCAACGGGGTATGCTGCCCCTCAGTCAAACGCCCCGAGGTCCACCCGTTAAGCATTTTCACACCTTGATGTAAAGCTCGACGGCGGGGTGCGCATGAATGGTGGGGGTACAGCATAGCAACGAGAAACATGGAGAAAACAAGACTGATCAGAATCTGCTCGATCTGAGACCCCTCAAAACGCGGCCTGCGTCCAAGATACATCCTTTCGAAAGTCGTACGGCCTGGCCTGCGTCTGCTCCAGGCTTTGGCTTCGTCTGCTTTGCGACACCCGACGACGCCACGAAAGCCGTGACAGAGATGCACCTCAAGGTACGTCCTCATTGTCGCACAGGGCCGATCGAAATGCAGACGCAGGCATGTGGACGTGCAGACATGTTGGGACAGGGGAGATGCGCAAGCACTCGCTGCAGAAACGCCCGTCATGATAGCCTGTCCTGGCCCTGTGTCCCACTGTGCATCTAGAAAAGCTGCACAGATTCCCTATGCTGGAGCCAAGCAGCAAAGATATGCCTTGCAGGTAGTGAAAGGCAAGCCGCTTTACGTTGGCCTTGCTGAGCGGAAAGAGGCCCAACCGCATGTGGCTCATGCCAGAACAAGCTCGAATGGTTTTTGTACGGACACAAGTGTCCGGCAACACCCTGCAGCAGACACCCTCTGCCTTCTGTCCAGAAAGTTTACGCTAGGCCTCTCGCGCTACTGAACTTTTCTGCCTAAGACCTGGCCGGAGGCTCGACAAGAGCGCCTTCGACAAAGATATGTGGGAGTCCCTTGGTGTTGCTTCAGCGCTGAAGCGACCCGCCCAGAGCCGTCGTTCTGCATATACTATATAGCAGTCGCTGCGCAATACGCTAAAGGGGCAAAAGGTGCACACAAGCTGAAGCGTGCTGAAGCCACAGACAAACCTGCTACGACTCGGTGGCCATGTTTCTTCATGAGAAGCTGCCCTGGTTTGAATCAGTGGGGTCAGTCTGGCCTCCACTTCGCTCAGGCACCTGGCACGAGCTACAAGGGCTCTGGAACCCAGCTGTTCGGCACATCACGCGGTGGCGGTTGTACCTCGCCGGCTGTTGCCGAGTGCAACAGTAAAGCCGTGCTGCTAGCCAAGGTGGAGGTGGAAAGGGCGGCTACGGCGGCTATGGCAAAGGCTTCAAAGGCACGTCAAGCAATTGCATCAGGTTCGCATTATCTCGGCTGGACTTGGGTCAAAGAGGAAGGACTAGGTGCCACCTGCCTCTCCACTTTGCTGCAAAAGCCTGAATATGCAGCCCGGGGGGGGGGGTTCCGAGAAGCTAAAGGAGTGCTTCATAGTGCTTCGGCCTCGGGGCCTTTTGGGCTTCAGCTGGTCTCGAGCAGCCTCTTTTTGCTGGTGCTATGTCCGAAAATCAGCCGTGCCTGCCAGGAAAAGGCGGCAAGGCCGGTGCAGCATGTCAGCATAGTGGCATGCATGTTTGCGCAGTTGTCATCAGAGCTGCCAGCATCCGGCCCTCGTCTTGCGGAAGGCTCTCGCATGTTTGCTACTAGACTCTCGCCTTCATTGTCTGGTCAGGATGGCATGGGCATTCCGACAAACATGGAGGCTTATAGCTCCCAGGGCATGATGCTCGGCTGTTAACAGGCACCAAGAGAGCTTGACGAAATCTGTGGTGCAGCACACCTGACGCCATGAGTTTTCGGATAGCCTTTTGCCCAAGAGCTTCGGATCATGAGCAGCTGCAAGGATGATGAACATGGGTGGTATGGGCCCCATGGGTGGCATGGGTGGCATGGGCATGCCTGGAATGGGTGGCATGATGAGGCCAGGCCGAGGGCATACAGCACTGATGGTGCAGCTGGACCCTGTGCTCCCATGCGGCCTCCGGAACTTTGCAAAAGCACAGGGAAGATATGAAAGGAGAAACCTGAACACTCAGAGAAGGTTTGTTTCGTGTGTCGCAGGGCATTAAGGCCACTGCCAAGCTGCATGAAAGCTTTGCTTGTCTCAGGCCTCCGATGATGGGAATGATGCAGCCTCCCATGCGTCTTTTCAGCACAAGTCATGTTGAGTGCGCAGAGCTTCAGAAGATCAACTCAGTGAATTGCATAATTAGGAGAACTGCAGCTGATACTCAGCTGACGTGTAAACGTCGAGACTGTCATGTGTGCAAAATTTCGCAATTGATAGCCACTCCCCGCATCATTTCGGCGGAGCTGCATTCGAAAGCCTGAAGGCAGGCAATGAACAATGCCATGCCGAAGCATCTCGGCGTGGTCTTAAATTCACCGTGGCACGTCTGCAACAGCTCAAGGCCTGCAGGCACTGACTTGGACGAATTCATTTGCATGTTGTTTTGCAGAACTAGTCGTAGCATCCACACAAAGTTGCCCACTGTCAGCCGTGCAGCAGTGAGCAACCAACCACAGGAAAGCGACTGCTTGTTTTGCGGAAAAGCCGTAGCATCCTGCCACACTACAATACAACTTCAAAAGTTATGAAATTATCATTTACTAGGCACCGTCGCTGAACCCATGGCCAATGCGCAGTGGTTTCTTTCAGCTTGCCTTTGTATAAGGTTTGGCAAAGGTGGATTCGATGGAGGCGGAGGCGGCGGCATGATGCCGAATCAAATGGCCACAGCCCTTGAAGTGACTCCAAGGGCCATGCTCAGGATTGCAGTCTGTACCCGAGGCAATGAAAGGAATGCCACCAAGCGGGAAGGGAATGGGCATGGGACCCATGCCAATGAGTCACATGGCTAGCAAATTCGTGCGCCTGTTTTGTTGCAGTTTTTTGCCGAAAGGCCGGTTTCGCGTTCGCTGATCGCACGTTCAGCGCAAAGCCTAAAACAGTTCGACATCGCTGGTGGACAGGAATGTCCTATCCTCCACGCACGGGCAGTATTCAACATTATTGGCAAGTAGAGTAGGCATCTGCGACTTATGAACCGAGACTGTCGTGTGAAGCTGCTTTGATAACGGACCGAGACGTGATTGATTTTGCTAGCAAGCTGCAAGACGTCACAATGAGGGTAACTCGTGGCGCTTGCGCATCATCCACCAAACGGCCTGTGAGGATTTCTGACATGTTTCCTGAAGCTCTGCAGCATCGACATTGTACTGAGATGCCATGGGACCGATGGGTGGTGGCATGATGCGGCCGCAGCAGCCGTGTGGAATGCAGTGCGGCCCCAAGTTGACCCCAAGAAGTTTGCCAACGCTTCTCAAGATGCTTGCATGAGTGGACTGCGATGAAGGGTTCAGTGTGTCTCTGCTGCCTTAAGGCAGATGATGCGTCCGAATCCCCCGCAGCCAACGAGCCATCGCAGCATCTATCATTGGTTGCCGTGGCTTGCGGCTGGTCATGTGTGCGACTGGAAGCCTGCGCAATCACCCTCTTGACCCGAGTCGATAAAGTCCCTTGCAGTTGCGTTGCTGCTGGGCACAAGAATGCGGAATACGACTGAGCACACAGGAAGGGCTCCCAGCAACGTTTCAATCTGCATACTGCGTTGCCTTCACCCTTCTCGCATGACGACCGTTTATGCCTTCTGGAGGTGACAGTGTGGTGCTAGTAGCCGTCGTCATCGTTGCAGCAGTAGTTGCAGCAGCAGCAGCAGTAGCAGCATCCACAGAAGGAGTAGGTGGTAGTGGCACTAATAGTGGGTAGTATAGTAGTAGTAGAACTAGAAGTACCAGTATCAGCAAAAGGAGCAGGTGCAGGAGCAGGAGCACTAGCAATAGCAGTAGTGGCATCAACAGCAGCTGCACAGTGGTAGCGCGCAACTTCCCAAGCTTAATGGAAAAGAAGAGACACTGGCAGCCTGGCATTCAGAAATTCAGAGTACTGGCAGCAGGGCCTTGCCTTTGTTCAGGAGTGGACCACCAGCTGTTAGCGGCCCAGCGACTTGGTCAAAAGATGAGAGGATCGTAGCTCTTGTTTCATGTGCCTGGCCGTTCTGTCGAAGGCAATCTCTACCTGCATTGGGTGCGATTTCTTGATTAAATCTAAATCTCTCAGACTGGTTTGCAGAAGTCCAATTTCGAGACGGGCACAGATATTATTGGTGGAACAGGTCCAGAAGCAAATGATCGGTGAGAAGCTCTATCCACTCGTCGCCAAATACCAGCCAGAGTGGGTGCTCTCCTGAGACACCTCCAACGAGGGCAGAGACTCAAAATGAGACTGCAGTCGCGAGGCAGGCAAGATCACCGGCATGATGCTCGAGATGGACAACAGTGAATTGCTGATGCTCTTAGAGTCGCTCGACGCAAGTCAGACACGGACTACTTGCCGGTCGTCGAAAGCAGCGAAGTTCCGAGGTCCGAATCGCAGCTCCGTGGCAAGGTTGACGAGGCAATGGGCCGGAAAAATTGTGATCCAATCCCTCCACCACAGAGGTCCACACCGAAAGTCCCAACATGTAAGACGCTCCTCACGTAACGCCTGCATGCCCAGGGGTTGTGACAGACAATACTGTGACTGCAGGCCGTTCGTGTCATCCAATCCGCACGTCGCCCTTGAGCAAGGCAGTGAGAGCAAGGGTCTCAAAAACAGTGTTGGTAGTCTTGAAGCATGCTGCCAGTTGATTTTGCCAGGAGAGGCCTACTGCTTCTGTGTCCGACTCAATGACTCGGAAACGGCGAGCAGAAGGGTGCGCATTGAAAGGCTTCCTACTTTTAACGGGCTGAGCAAACAAAGCTGCCATGTTGAAGACTGTGGCATCATGCTGCCGTTTGGGAGTGCTCTTCCTTACGCTGTGTTGTTGGTTCTGAATTGCGGGTGGTTGCCGCAGGTTGCTAGAGATGCTTCAAGGAATATCCTGTCTGTCACAAGCACATCCCAAATTAAAGCAGACTGTTCCAGCTGTTGGCCGATCAGGTCGTTGGAGCCCTGATAGTGCGGTGGTGATCAAAGCAGAGCACGCATCAAAATCTCTTGATTCGAGGGGTCTTGCCCCTGGGCATTTGCCCATCACGAAAAGAGCTGGAGCAAAGTCTCATGCGCTGAGCGCAGTGTGACTAAATTTATCGCTTCTTGTAGACAGGCGAGGCTTTGACGGCTCAGGAAAGGGACAAACCCACCACAGAAATACAGCAGTGAAGCATTTAAAGGCATAGTTTCGTTGGTTTCTTCCATGGGTCTTTCATGCTTTCATGTGCTTCATAGCCTATCATAGCCTCACTGGACTCAACTGTCAATTGCACAGTGAAAAGGGACGAGGAAGGATCGACGTGACTCTTCTGCCTTCGTCCTTCCATTTCTGACGCTGGGTTGAAAACCCTGCAAGGAATCAATTGAGGAGATGCTACTTAAGATATCTTGCTGTCGGCAGGCATGTTGAAGCGCAGGATGTGCATCACTCCTCAATCATGTACTATGCAGAGATGCGGTGAAGCAGCATGACAAAACATCGCCTCCGAAGTTTCAAGTCATCGCAGCTTAACTTCTGATTCTACAACTCTCCGGGTCGGCATGTGTGACATGGTGTGGGACAAGCTATGTCATATTATGTCATAGTTCCATAGTTCAATTACCGCGACGATCAACCTCCCAATGCTACAGCAACGAGCAACGCAGGATTTTTGACGCAGCGATGCTGCTTCGACTGTGCAGTTGAACCCACGGCCCCACGTCAGGACTGCAGCAAACTGGCTGGATCTGCAACGACCTTTCAAAGAGATCATCAGCAACGTGCTGAAAGTCTCGCAGGCTTCCATGCAGCTTGTGCGCCTTCATGAAGTGACCTTCTCTGTGGGGAGGGCTGGAGGAGCAGAATACTGCAAGTAAAGAGTAGCGATTCTGTGGCTGTGCTGAGGGAATTGATTACCGTCATGCCCGACAATCAGACCTGCAAAGGTTGTTTCCAAGCGTATGCGAGCCTAACGATGAGTGTCTCGTTTCATGTTGCGTTTTTTCGGCACTTCATCGGAAAGAGGCCCACGCGCAATCCGAACTGTTCCTGTACGAGGCATGTCCTGTGCCTGGCACTGCTTCTCAGGTCGGCTTGCATGGCTGGCAGAACAAGCTGTAACAAGCAGCAGCATCTTAGGCGCATGTGTCACACGACGACATAAACGAGTGTAAATCGAGCCAGCTACGGAAAGTTTCGGCATGTCACACTTGTGGAAGTGGACAGAGGACAAATAATCTAAAGTATAAATCTTGGCGTTGTTCTTTGTCAGGTGTCGCCTCTCGTGTCCAACATTCGTAACGAGTCACCTGATTGCTTGCTGCCGAAGAAGAAGTGCCTTCATCGCACTGTGTCGAAGTGCGTGCTTCGAGATGTTTTCGCGGAATTGCTGGCAACACTGCAGTGCCGGCAAAGTGCCAAAGGTACGACGAGAAGCAGCTGTCCAAAGGGATCGGGCGATTCTTCAAGCCCAAGACTGATACTGGATCCTTGCCAGCACTGTTTGCTGAATTTCACTGTGAGAAGGCAAGCTGTTGGTCTGCGTAAATCACTAATCTAATGGTGTC